GTAATAATTCGTACGACCTCACTCGTACTAATTCGTACGATTTGTCTAAACCCACGTGATGGTTAGGTTTAGGGGCGGGGTTAGGGGTAGGTCATTCGTACGAATTCATACGAATTGGCCAATTCGTAAAATATGTACGATTTAGCAAAATCGTATTAATTCGTACGAGTGAGGTCGTATGAATTGTTACGAATTAGCCACTTTTTAATCATTCGTCGAATTCGTACGACTTGGTCGTGAGATCGGGTTGGAACTTTAATATATTTTAATGTTCATCTGTTCTGTTGTGACAATAAAAGAAACAAGTTATTTTTTAAAATGCATTATCATATTATTTTAGTTAAAACTCACAAATAACTAATGTTAGGGAAATCTGTTAATGTTTTGTTGCGCGTTTCTGAAATAAAATAAAAATAAATATCGGCCGATATATCGGATTTTAAAACCAACAAATATTCATATCGGTATCGGCCTTCAAAATACTTTATCGGTCGGGCTCTAGCAGCAAATCAACAATTCAATGATTTCTGAAAGAGCATGTGACACTGAAATTGTAATAATATTTCACAATATTACTGTATTTCCTCTATTTTAATAAAAAAATACACCTTTGAGTAGAAACTTCACTCAAAAAACAATAAAAAAAAATCTTTCTAACCTTCAACTTTTGAATGATGATGTAGCATTACATTCATAAGCATTACACACTAAAAATCTTTCTACATGGGTTTCCAAATAGACCAAATAACCTCTTTTCCTCTAAAACCTTAATTTCCTCAGGGTCTGTCCTTTTCATGCTGCCTAGTGCCTCCTATATGAAGTTTCACTCTGTCCATTTATAAATGAATAAAAGAATGGCTTTCAGGCCAGGGGCCGAGAATGATTGACGTACAACAGAGTGGCACTACTATTTGTCCATTGCTTCTTTCCGCACAGCTTCAGCCCACATGCCAAGAGACATCTGTCAGTCCCAAGCTTTTAATAAGTGTATAGAAACGATGTGTCAAAGAGGCCTTTGGATGCTGAAATGAATGACAGTTCTGGATCTGAAGGGTTTGCTGGTCTTCATCCAAATCCACAGAATCTGTTCAATCGCTCCTCTATCTATTATAAACTGCTGCTCATGTCGACTGACTGTAGCTAACGGCAGTCACCATCAAACGCTGGATTAAGATGTTATCGGGCTTGTATACGCCGGACTGAATTCACTCACCAGAACAGGAAACAAGCAATTTGTCTTGCTGTAACAGCATTTACAGTTTGATACTGTTTGTATTGTGAATGTTTTGGTTATTTGTCAGCATTTATAATACAAAATTAGGGACCTCCTGGACCGATCTCAAGCATTTTTTAACAATGAATAGTTGAAATAAAGTCACTATTTTTGTTTGTTTTTTGCACACAAAAAGTGTTCGTCATTTGATAAAGTTAAGATTGAGCCACTGAAGTCACTTATTAGTATTTTAACGATGTCTTTAATAACTTTTCGAGGCTGGCAAGTTTCAATCCCTCAAGAAGCCTATGGACTAGTATACAGGAGTGATCTTAATATCTTAAATATCTTAATTTGTGTTCCGAAGATGAACGGGGTTGGAACAACATTTTTCATTTTTCAGAATTTTCATTTTTTGGTGAACTAACTAGAGCCCGACCGATACAAATATTTTTTGGTTTTAAAATCCGATATATCGGCCGATATTTTTTATTTTTTTAATTTCAGAAACGTGTAACAAAACATTAACAGATTTCCCTAACATTAGTTATTTGTAGTTATTTATGAGTTTTAACTAAAATAATATAATGCATTTTTGTTTCTTTAATTGTCACAACAGAACAGACTGATGATAGTGGCATTAGCTAACTTTGTGGTTAGCTAGTCTATGATGAGCCATAATTTAGCAATTTAGCAATATTTTCAATATAACAGGCCAAGGAGAGATGATACGTCTCATTTCTATAACTGTCACGTGCTATTAAAGAAATACTTCAGTCACATTGTCAAAAGTTAAAAGGACAGTCAGTCGACTACACTGTAACAACGTAACGTTACTATTACTAGCTAATTCCGCTTCACTCTCGGCTTATTTAACAGCAGCAAAACTGGACATGATAGTCACACATTTTATCATGCTTATTTGAGTTATGTTATTTTAATTGTTATTCAAGCAATGTATGTATCGTGACCAACTCAACGAGTGTTGCCAACAGGAATGGTGTAGAGTGCCCTCTGGTGGACAAACTATACAACTCCAACACTCATGACATGGTTCAAGCGTGTTTCGTCCGTTTTTATTTTATTTTTGAAATATTCATTTATCGGCCATTACAACTGCAGATACCGATAGTTTGGAAAATGCCTAATATCGGCCGATAATATCGGTCTGGCTTTAGAACTAACCCTTTAACGTTTCCATAATTTAGCACAACTTTAGTCTAAACTTTGTTATAATAAGTCCCTTCAGAGGAGACTACGGTGGATTAGTGTATTAAAAAAAATTCTCACCAAAATTGTACAGTCAGCAAACTTGGGTCAATTTACTGTTTACAGTAGCACAGACTGAGCAGTTTTGGGAAGTTTAAGAGATTCATATTTATTTGAAAGACCCCATTCTCCGATAGGAGTGATTGGACGCTAATTGAGGCGGCTGCGGTGTCCTGTAGGGATAATGTAGCGGAGCCGAGATTGTGTGTGGGAGGGCCGCTCATTTACCTCCATTACTGCACAAGCACAAGGACCCCAGCCGTCTGCCCTACATGAAAAACATTAGGAAATCTCTGCCAGAGCCTGGACTGAATTACAGGCAATACAGCCATCAGCAGTTAACAACAACCACCTGCTTCAGGCTTCAACCACATGACAAATACGGACGGATCAATGGAGATCTGAACATATCGAGTGCTCAGATGTCATTCAAGAGCACTATTTGTACTGCCCTCAACAAGGAAACTGCTCATTCCAGCTTAACCTTTGACCTTTGGATGGATTAGAGCACACCTCCATTATTCAGATCCATTTAATCAATGAGCCTGTGAGCAAAGCAGCAATTAGCAAACACCTCTCAGCCTCTCTGTTGAACACACTTCTAATGAGGTGTGTGAGGGGCCGCTGGGCGTTTCTGATCAATGGAGCGAGCCATGAGAGAGAAAACAAATCTACTTAAGAAATAACCCTTTCTTGTAAAAGTGTAATAACAGTTCAGGCCAACAAGTTTGAACGGAAAACAGCAAAAATAGCCAAATTTGTTGCTGCTCATTTTCACTTGCGAATCTTAGAGAGATGGTCATACTCTATTCAAGTATGGGAATTTGAGGTTAAATGACTGGACATAAAACTGGACTGTCGACCCTCACAGATGCTCAGAGAGAGGAGACAACAATAACAGCTGGCTGACCATCACAGGAACTGAACTTGAAACAAGTGCATCTTTAATAATAACACCTGACATCTGCCACCTGTTACAGTCAATAACAAGATTCATTATTCTGCAACCTTTTAAAAATGATGGACATATGGAGGCCATACTTAAAGTAGAAAATAATCTAAGCGCATATGTGCAGGAAGTCAGCAGATATGGAAGTTTAAGCAAAAGAGTTCATCAATCAGCAGATCTCAGGTGTAAACCACTAGCGCCACCTGCTGTTCATGTGGAAAAACGGAAACCAAGTGTGCTTTGAGTATGCTTTCAGTGAAAACATGCCTGTTGGTTAACCGTCATGTGACATTGCAGTTGTTATCAGCTCAGCACCCAAAGCCATGGGACAATCTTCTGAGACTTAAAGGAGTAGTTCACTTTTAAAAAAACTTTTGCTGATAATTTTCTCGCCCCATGTCATCTGAGATGTCCATGTCTTTCTTTCTTCAGTCGAAAAGAAATTAAGGTTTTTGATGAAAACATTCCAGGATTTTTCTCCATATAATGGACTTCAATGGGAACCAAACGGTTCAAGGTCCAAATGAGAGTTTCAGTGCAGCTTCAAAGGGCTTTAAACGACACTAGATGATGAATAAGGGTCTTATTAAGCGAAATGATCTCTCATTTAATAAATAAATAACGAAGTTTAAGTTTTATAAGCTCAAATGGTCACCTTGCTCTGTTCTGTGATGAGCATAAGTGACTCTCCTATTTGAACTCATTCATCAAAATGAACAAATCTTTTCCTGAGTCAACTCGTTCATTTCGTTCGTTGAATGAACCAAATTACATGAAAAATTATTCGTTCATTTTGATAAACGAGTTTGAACAGGAGTCACGAACGGGAGCAAGGCAACCATTTGAGCTTATAAAACGTTTTCATCGTCTGGAATCGTTTAAAGCCCTTTGAACAGTTTGCACTGAAACTGTCTTTTGGACCTTGAACCGTTTGGACCCCATTGAAGTCCATTATATGGATAAAAATCCTGGAATATTTTCATCAAAAACCTTAATTTCTTTTCGGCTGAAGAAAGAAAGACATGGACATCTTGGATGACATGGGGGTGAGTAATTTATCAGCAATTTTTTTTTTAAAGTGAACTACTCCTTTAAAGGGTTAAGTCAAAATTCCACCAATTAGAATACAGCAGTATAAAATATGATTGAATAACTGATTTTGCAACAGGATAAACAAGCTGTTAGAAAAAATCATGTAAAACTAAATTATTATAAGGTCTTCTAGACAGGATAGTTCATGCAAGCCATACAAAAACTAATATCAATTGAAAAGCAGTTCATGATCATCAATCTCCATGCTATACTAAAATTTTAGCATCCAAAACAACAAAAACATGCAAAACTGCCTCTATCACTAAACATGCGTTTGTAATTCATTGTTATGACTCACATGTGTGTTTCAGGTACATGCGAGTGAAACATTAGGGTTAATAGACAGTTGTGAATTAATGACAGGATTAGATGAGTATATGGTTCATTCTGGGAGGAAATGACTGTGGTGGATGATGGGAACAAAAATCTATATATAATAAAAACTGGTGTTTTGTGGGGAAACACATCAGTACATACCCAGAAACAGCCTCTTAGGAACTTTGATATCTTCGTCCTTACTGTCTGTTGCTTCAGACAAATAAGACAAATAAACAAAAAATAAGAACATGGGAGAGCAGAGGGGAAAAAGAGATTGCATCGCTCCATCTTCATGGAGACACTGAAAGCCCTGAAGAGAAGGAACTCATGAAAACATGTCCGAGTCATATCCCACCCTAAAATCAAACGTTAAGATGCTAAATTTTGCATTAAGTAAACAAAGCATATTTTTAGAATCACTATTATACTTGGCATTGTGCATTAAAGGGATAGTTCAGCCGAAAATGAAAATGTTGTCATCATTTACTCACCCTCATGGTGTTTCCAAACCCGTATGAGTTTCTTTCTTCAGTTGAACACAAAGGAAGATATTTAAAAGAAACTGATGGATCCCATTGATTTCCATAAGAGGGAAGTCAATGGGTGCCATCAACTATTTAGTTAAAAAACATTCTTTAAAATATCTTATTTTGTGTTCAACATACGGGTTTGGGACAACATTAGGGTGAAAAATGTTTGGGTGAAGCATATATTTTCCCAACACGTTCTCATTATGGGTTTGACCGCATAGGAATAGCTAATTAAATAAACATGATTTAAATAATGATAATAAATCACATTACAGTAATGGTAAAAAAACAAAACCCTTTTAATTTTAGCAAAATATTATGTCACTTTGGGTTGAAACTGACTGGTACACTACACTATTTGGGTCATAAATTTTGGAATCATTAGATAAAAGCCTTAAAACAAATATTATGCTCATGAAGGGTGCATTTATTTAAACAAAAATATAATTACAATTTAAATACTAATTTTCTTTTTTAGCATATCATGCATGCAGGTAATTTATTCCTGTGATGGTAAAGCTGAAATTTCAGCATCGTTTCTCCAGTCTTCAGTGTCACATGATCCTTCAGAAATCATTCTAATATTCTGATTTGCTGCTCAAGAACCATTTTGTATTATTATGATAGTTGAAAACAGTTTTGCTGCTACTTTCACTTCCACTCAAAAGTTTGGGGTATCATTGATGTTTCTTGAGCTGCCAATTTCGAATGATTTCTGAAGGATCACGTGACACTGATGACTCCTGAAAATTCAGCTTTGCCATCACAGTACAGTAACAATAAATAAATTAACATTGAAACAAGTTATTTTAGATTGTAATTTTTCACAATATTAATGTACATCAAATAAATCGCATGTAAGAAACATCTTTCAGAAACACTGGTAGCGTAGCGCATGTTCTTGACATAAATAATGAAATATAATATTATGATTCAAATAATTATGCAGAAGTGACAACGTCAGCGGTGTAAGCTAACTCTGAGATGTTGTGTCAGTCTTAAGACAACAGACAGAGTACGCAGCAGTACTACGTCATACCAAAAGATAAGAAAACTGTTTAAACAGGATGTCTCAAGTGAGAGACTATTGGTTTAAGGCTTCATCAAATTTGTCCAAGGAGCGTTTCTAAAGCCAGAATATGTCTGTACATTTATGCACCGTGTGTTGTTCTCTCATAGTTATTGGTTATGATTGAATACTATCATACTCCACCAATAACTTCAGCGGTATGTATAATGCATTTTCTGTATGCCCAGAATCACTCAATGAAACATTTATGAAGTAAAAGAATCATCAAACCACCAGTTCCGGTTCCACAGAGAGGGCTTAGATTAAACCAGGATTAAGCCTTAGTTCAATATTAGGGCATTTAAATAGCTTTTATAAATGTGCCTTTGAAAAAAAAAAATCATTATTGGTGTTCATCTTGAGATAAAACAATGGCACTGTCTTAAGATTGTCAGTGCAACCTGCTCAGATAAACCAGCTCAAACATGCATTTCAGTCTGGGACTAGGTTTAAGCATTGCCAGTGAAATCAAGGGTTAATTTATAGTGCATCACATACTAATCTTAAAAAAATTGTATGCAGTATACAGTACATTCGCAAACATAAAGTTCAGTGTTTTGGCTCATTTGAGAACAAGAACACAACTCAAGTATAAATAAACCCGAGACTGATGTTCACTAAGCAGTGAGCAGGTCAAAGTTCATCCACTTCAAAGGCCCTCCTTGTATGATAATCTCATGAAACTGTTCAAAGACAGACCCTGACCATGTGACTGTATCTACTGTAATTCAATAGCCTGCAAACTCAAGTACCAAACTCAACTGACTAGAAAAAAAAAAACATTTAAAGAAAGAAACCATAGATTCATTAATTTGGGAATTAAAAAAAAAAAAAGTGTTACACAAACGTTATCTTCGACATAATGCTGAAAATAACACTCATTCGGAGGCTGTAAAGAGTCATAAAGATTCCCACCTGTGAACGAGCGGCGTTTGGTGTTGAGTTCAGTGACCATGCGGACGTTGGTGCACAGGTTCAGCATGATTAACATTGTGATGATCATGATTATACTCTGCCAAAGCAGCGGAGTCTCAAAGTAACGTCCAAACCTGGAAAAAAATAAACAAATCACAACACACGTACATATATTGGTCAGAGCTTTTACCTTGCTTCTTCAAGTTGTTACTGATAAATGGATGAGGACTTTTAAAAATCATTGTGGAGATTTTGTTAGGGCAGATTTTATATACTTCTTTATTATTATTATTATTATTATTATTAGTGCACAAACCAGACAAAATATTTGTGCACCAAAAAATTGAATCCTGTCATTAATTATGTCATTCTAAACCCGTAAATCCCTCATTCGAAATCAAATTAAGATATTTAAAATGAAATCCAAGAGATTTCTGACCCCCCATAGACTGTAATGCAATCACCACTTTCAAGGCCCTTTCAAAAAGGTATTAAAGACAGTTAAAATAGTCCATGTGGACTAAAATAGTCGATCTATCTATGATCCTCATGTTTTTAGCATGTTATATGTTTGGCAACAGTTCTTCAAACCATAATTGATGGAGTGTGAAGCTGTGTTGTCAATACAAGGTCTTGATCAAAAAATGATGCGCCTCTTGATGGAAATAAATGTTGTGATGTTATTTATTTCCATCAAAAAGTGAATTTTTTTTTGTGCAAGAGTCAGGCACTCAATAAAGTCAACTCCAGCACAACCCACAGACATTCAATTAATTTAAGATCTGGACGTGCCATTGTCATCCTGAATCCTGGATTATATGTCATGTAGGCTATTTTACACTGTTTTCTCATATAGCTGTCATGCAAAACTCACCTAAACAGTATTCTTAATATGTTGGCAACCAGCAGCACCAGGCAAACATATGTGGAGAATCCTTCAGCATTCTGAGTCCTGCGGATATCCCTGTACTGAGGGATGTATGGCACAACTCCTCCAAATATGATGGCAGCAGATGCGATCCAAGACACCGTTTGATGAACAACATACATGATCTGATCCATAAGCACTTCATCCATTTTTGAGGGATCTATCTATCTGTCCTTTATAGTTAAATCAACTGAATGCAACTACAAGCTCACTAATTTAATGAAACAGAAATAATTACTACTTTGTCCATGTTGTTCACATATTAAAATGCAATTTTACAGTAGCTAAATGTACTTTAATTGTCCCAGTCAACATCCTCTGACTCATTAGAACTAATTCATTCAAGTGCTTCCCTTTTTCCAGGAAAGAAATACTTGCTAAATCGCTGGAAACGGTGAGTCCACATTAGATGGTGTGTATCTTCTGTCTTGTGATCTGTGTAAAGATGAATGGAGGGCTGTAAATCATTTTAATGCCGCTGTGATCCTCTCTGCTACATCTGGCTAATGTTGAAAACAGAACTTCCGTGTTGCGCCACGTCACGACACGCTCATTAATATTCATGAGTCGCACGGTCCTAATGCCAGTCGGCTTTTTTTCTGACGAGAGAATGGCAAAAACAATGATTCGGAAACAAATTATTAACCATTAACACCAGTATTTCATCATTTCTAAATGTAAGCAAGGAATTTACCATCTCACCTGATTTTAAACTGCTTTGGGCTATAAATACTTAACTATGACACAAGATTTGTTTGGAAAAAAGAACTCGAAATCCAAATAAAGCTGCCATGTTTAGCCCCTATCAGCAGTCAGCATTGTGTAAATCAAAATGTTATTTTTCAAAAGTGGACTAAAATAAAATAAAACGTCAGTTCACACACAGTAAGTATTGAAGCAAAAAAGATGTGCTTGTTGATCTTTGAGGGGTTTGGCTGACTGAGGACGTCCATACAGTTTAATACAGTTTAATCCAAAGACGACACTTGTCAGGATTTGACTTCGGCCAAAAAAAATAAAAAAAAATAAAATTATGTCATTAATCACTCACCCTCATGTCATTCAAAACCCGTAAGACTTTCGTTCATCTTCGGAACACACATATTTTTGATGAGATCTGAGAGCTTTCTGTCCCTACATTGACCGCAACGTCATTTGCAACTTTTAAGGCCCACAAAGGTAGTGAAAACATGGTAACATTTTAGATGTTTCTATATCTTGTGAAAATATACCTTATCCTTACCTTATTTTTCACTATGAACTGATCAGAACTGTTAATTATTATGGTGTACACTCCAATATATTTTTCAATACATTAAATTACTAATTTTTGTCAGAACAAATGTCTGACTAAGTTCTTGTAGTAGTATTCAATGGGGAATGTCCCCTACTGTAAGTTCATGCTTTTATATGTCTGTGGTTTCATTAGAAAAGCATGTAAGTTTAAATATTGGTTTGCACATTCAAACGTTTTCTCGTCATGAATGCGGAATGCAAGCTAATGCATTATGGGTTATGATTCAATGTCAAGGTCTCCATTAAATACTTCATACTTTTTACTTATGAGTATAAAAACCCCAAATCACAATTTGCCATTGAAGCAAAATTTGATGATCAGCAAGGAACTGGTGCGCATGTGCCAAATGTCCATCCTGAGCTTTAAAAAATTGTATGTTGAGTCAACGTAACTCAGTTAAGGTAAAACAGCATGCCCTTGATTTATGTTACATACAACTGATTGAAATGTTACAACATTGAACATATCATTTGTAGAATCAGGTATACAATACCTCCTTGACGCAACAACTGCACGTTCACTTTTTAACAGTGGGAGCTGATGTTGCAAATGTTGAGGAAACACTTATTAAAAGTTATCCCGTGATCAAATCCAGTTATCTTCTAGACATTGATTAGCATATTCTGTCTTGATAAATCGTGTCCCGGGGCAGGGTTTTTGTAAATTTTAGGGTTAGTGATGAGTTAAACTCGCTTGTGTACTCAAACCATTTGTTGTCTTAAAAAAGCAATTTCTTTAAAAGAAAATATCACCCTTTGCTTTGAACTTTGAGCACGGTAACTTTGCAGATGTTTTTTATACTCAAACAACCACCCCTTTAATTTGGAGGATTGTAGCAACTTTGGCATCACCAATTTTGTGCGAGTCAGGTCACGTTCACATCTCACACATGACTAATCATTCAAAAACATGACACGGGAGGAGTTTATGTCTGGGTGTAAATTTTACTTTCTCTTTCAGTTATTTTTAGCAGTTTATAGATCTACATAAAAGGAGGTTGTATTTACTTTGTCCTGCTGTAAAGGTTTCTTTCTCACACTGGATCAGTCATGGAGGAAAGCTTCCCTTTCAAGTACTCTTTATTGGAATACCTGTTTACATTGTTGGGATTGTTTTTTTTCCTGGCGGATATAGCACTGGACATTCGGACTGTTGTGAATTTTTATCAGGATGGAGCCTATGTGTATATGACGGTGATGATCGTTCTGCTGCTGGGATCTTCAGTATTGTTACAGGTGTTCAGCTGGCTCTGGTACTCAGATTTCCTGGAGACTAAGCTTGAGACTAAGGTGGAGGAGACTAAGCTTCAGCTTGAGACTAAGGTGGAGGAGACTAAGCTTGAGACTAAGCTTAAGCTTGAGACTAAGGTTGAAGAATTTGCTAACAGGAATAAACTGATCAAACCACTCCACTTCTTTCAGCTTGGAGTCTACCTCAGGTCTGTGACAGATTTGTTTTCAATTTTCCTTGAATAGTCTTGTGGAAAACTTTTAAAAAGAGTACTTTTTATAGACATGATGTACTCTAAAAGAATATAAAGTGTAAACTGAATGTAATGTTTTAACTTGTTTCACTGTAAGTTTATTGCAATTATGAAAATGCATAATAGTTTAATTTTTAAATGTAAATTGTTTTTTTACCCACTTAAATAGGACTTAAATACAGCATTGTATGTAATTTCATACTTCTTTTATTTTTTTATTAAATATGGTTTAAGTGTACTGTAAAATGTACTGACAAGCATTTATGGTAAACTACAGTAAAACTTTAATGCAATTTCTATTGACCTGAATGTCACATATTTTAACATATTTGTAATTACACTTTTGTAATGATATTGTTTCAATTTAGCAATATTAAAAATATTTTAACTTTATCACAACTTTAAATGAAATACTAAATAACACACTTCAGTTACAATTATAACAAGTACTTTGTGTTCTTTACATGTTAGTCAATATCAAAAAGTGTGCTTATTTAAAGCACAACACAACATTATTAAAACATAATTACTTTAAAGTAAAACTTTTAATATGACATTATTACAATGTGCACTCTTATTTCAAGACACTATTACAAAAAGTCATGAAAATGTATTAGCTTTACTTAAGCGTGGCCTTTTATTTCATATATTATATACCTTTTTTATGTGTTTAATATTTGAATTGCTTGTAATTACAAGTGAACATTCAGTACAACTAAAGCACACTTTATCTATAAATGTATGAACACCTAAAGGGATAGTTAACCCAGAACTCTCATAATTTACTCACCCTTTATAGTTGAGGCCTTTATTCCCATATAAACACTGTTCAAGAGCACATCAAATATGGCAAACAGATTTCACGTTTCAGTTTCCGAAATAATCAGCGAGGTTTGTTCTCGTGTCATTAGAAAAATCCTCATGTGTTTCGAAGAACAGCATGAGGGTGAGTAAATGATGACAGAAAGTCATTTTTGGGTGACCATTAAATCAAAATCAATCAGAGCTATTTCTTAATCCTTATTTAAATTTTAGATCAATTGATTTGGTTAAACACATTTAAATAAAACAAGTACTTCATATCCAAATTGTGGCTTCTGTTGGCTATTGTAAAGTTTTGGTGTATTAAATGTTGCTTAAGTAAATGCATGTACCTTGTGTTCACAGGTATGCTGGGGTGGTAGAGGTTTCCTCTATACTTTGTTTTAAAAAACCGAATAGATTCACAGAGGGTGTGGCTGTATTGATGAACCAGGACCTTCAGATGCTTCGTTTCTTTGAGGCATTTTCTAAAAGTGCCCCAAAACTCATACTTACGATGTGTAAAATGTTACAGAGCGGAGAGCCGGAGCTTATTACAGGTCTGTCTCAAATCCAGAACACTTTAAATCTTTGTTTCTTTCAGATTAGAGTTCTTATAGTTCTCACCTATAAAGCCACCATGAAATCAAATTTGACAGATCATATTTTTTATAGAATACTGGCATATTTATTTATTCTAAGACTTCTGATTCAGTTGATCATGGATTGTTATTGACCAAACTACATTCAGTTGTTTTAAGTGAGAAGGCTGTTGCATGGTTCCAAAATTATTTTTTTAGATCGTACTACTGTACTGTATGTGTTTATGCTGAAGGTTATAAATCTGATTTTCTTGAGATAACTAAAGGTGTCCCTCAAGGATCAATCTTAGGACCCATTCTGTTTTCAATTTTTTTAATGATTTGGACAGAGATGTTCAAGCCAAATACGCTGATGATACAGTGGTCTACAACAAGGCTTCCACCATAGCAGTGCAGGAACTTCAAACTGCATTTCAAGCTTGCAAAAGGTGCTAATATGTGCTAATATGTACTATTAAGGTACCAATATGCACCCTTAAGGTACAAAAGTATAACTTTTGAAAAGGTACAGCCCCAGTGACAGCTTTTGTACGTTTTTCTGAGAGTGTACTGAGTCTAAAACCGGTTATAAATGCACAGAAAACAGTTTATGGTCTTCTCAAAAGCTCAAGCACAGCTACTTGATCACTTTGGCCTCTTGTCCTTCAAATCAATTGACAGTGTCTTCATACAAGTTCTTGGGGATAAGGATAGATGATAAGCTCACCCTCAATAAACATATTACTGCTTTGTCAAGAAACGTAAAGTCAAGCTTGCCTTCTATTTCAGGAACAAACTTACAGAAGAGGGGTTAATTCCAAACATAGCAGTGCCAATGTGTGTTTCTAATAGTCTGATTGTATGCAGCTCACTCATATTTTCTAGAAGGACTATTGCTTGTGTGATATTGTTTAATAATAATTTGCAATGTTTTTTTGTTTCAGGTTTAAATTCCTTCTCATCAGCTGTTTCAATAGCCTTTACCGTAGCCTTGTACCACCGCAGCATGCGTTCATATCTTCAAGAAAAACACAAGATAAGCTGGATCTCCACTGGCGTCTACTTTCTGTGGAACTTGTTGCTGATCATTCCCCGTGTAACCGCTCTGGCGCTCTTTTGCAGTGTATTGCCATGCTACATCATAGCCCACTTCCTGTCTTTGTGGATGCTGCTGGTTTTAGGGGTCTGGAGCCAAAAAACAGATCACATGGAAAGGCCTGGTTGGGAATGGCTCTTCAGAGCTACTATTGGACTCATCTGGTACTTCAGCTGGTTTAACGTATCAACAGGAAGCATGAAAAGAAAGACTGTTCTCTATAATGCTGTCATGGGGTTGGACACGATGATACTGCTGGGCTTCTGGTGCTGGAAGGTGTTTGAGTTTACAGGCTGTTGGAGCTCCTCAAATCCTTACGTAGTGATCCCGCCACTACTAGGTTTGCACGTTGCTGGAATTCTTGTGGAAATTATATACTACAAATGGTTTCATCCTAACTGTGATGAGCAGAAAATATCTAAGCCCAGTAAACATCAGAAGAATAGACACCATAGAAAATATTATAGGATGAATGCCATGCAACCGGTATCTGAAAATAGAGCTCCTGCTCAACCTGAACCTGAACCTGTCACTGGTGGTCTGAAGAGGGGGATGAACATGGCTGCTAATTTCTACTACTAGTTCTATAATATATGACTATAAAAACTGATGCAATCTCAGTATTGGCTTTATGCACAGCTGCACTACTTCCTAAACGTCAGCCAGCTCCTTGTTTCTTGTCTGCCATTATTGGGCAAACTTGATTGATTCAGGTGTGTCTGATTATTGTTGCCATGACTACTGAGGTCAGGCACACCTGAATTAATCAATTTGTCCAATAATGGCTGACAGGAAACAAGGAGCTCGCTTAAGTTCAGGGAGTAGTGCAGCTGTGCATAAATTTTCACTTGTCTGTTTTGGTGGCTTTATAAAGAAGAGTGCAGAAAAACAAACACTGAAAAGAGGAAAAAGTCCATTATTTTAACCTTGGAATAAAGTATTCTATTAGTTCTGTTCAATCAAACTCTGCAAATTCAAAAAAAAAAAAAGTACTATTAACCTTTTATTTTCATAGACTATATCATTCTTGAAACATATCCATTGTGAAAAAGAAGTGCAGTTAATTGTACCGAATGTGCACTTCTAGATTACTTTAAATCTAAAAAGTATATAAAAAAAACCCTGTAGTTACATTTATTGAAAAACATAAAAGTTTACTTTACTACACTTTCATGACTAGACTTATATAGACTTATACTCATTTACTTTTCAAAAGTGCTTTGTGTTTGTCATGCTTTAATGTAGCCTACCTACTACTAACATACTAAAGAAACATGTTAACTAAATTATGATTTTTAGTGTTACACATTATTACATTTAAAGGTAAAATATTTTAAATGTATATAGAGCTTTTCATCCTTATTTCAAAAACAATAATTAAAGGTGCTGTGTGGTATTTTTAGCGACATCTAGTGGTTCGGTTGCGAGTTTGCACCAGGTTTGCACTAAGGGCTCAGCCCACTGCTCACCCCTCCCTTTCGAAGAAGCTACGGTTGCTAAAACGAGACAAACAAACATCTCGTCGGCTGACTGACACAGCTGAGAATAGCCATAGTAAGCCAAGAGTGTGTAACATTGTCACTGTTTCTATACCACAGTCCATTATAAACCACATCACGGATACAGTTTACAAAGCCATAGTCGGGTGAGGATCAAGGATTTTATTATATAATTTAATGTAATGATAGTCAGCTGATCGTCTCACAAGCGTAACCAGTAGCACTTTTTCTCCCCACAAAGCAAACCCATGATACAGCGAGGGAGAAGAACCACATGATAACTATGCAGCTATATAATTTTTCTAACAGGGTAATAGTTTAGCTAGCTAATGTGAGCTGTTACTGTGGCTGAGGTAAAGCGCAAAGCCAGTTTGCTGGCTGTTTTTCTGAGAATTATTTTACTATTTAAAGACGCAAATCTTTATGAGAGATGTCGTTACGGAGCTCAGGGACAACATGTGCTGTTCGCGGTTGTACGTATAACCAGACTAAACTAATTCAGTGGCTTAAACGTGTTTTGAACATAAGCCGAAAATGAAATCAGAGTGATCCTGCCAACGACTGTAGTTTCCATCACCTCCCAAAAGACGACAAATCTTCCTGTTTACATTTGTTTAAATTCTTAATATTCTATAAACTCTATCATCATGTGATTGGCTGTTTGCTACTGATGTTACAACTAAATGTGTCAGTTAATGTATTCAAGTAGCACATTCATTTATAATTTTGAATAAACTCCAAACCACAATGACTAATTGTGTATTTTTTTTTATTTTAATTATTTGTCAGCTCACACAACTGTCTGTCATCATGCCTTGATGAGTATTGATTATTAATAATGTTAATACTCCCAAACAACTACTGTGGAGGGTAAAGGAACTGTTATTTCACCCTTTTTAATTTCGTTGAGGTTGTGTTCCCACATCGTTAGCTAGTTTGGATCGCTAGAACTTGAATGACTGTCAACTGTTGAATGAACGAGTGTCAAGCATGTCAAGTCGCGCTTTGTTTACTTCGAACCGGAAGACGCGCCTACTTTTGACGCAAGGCCTCATGGGGCGTAGGAAACTTGTGTCTCAAGCGGACCTCGACGCGTCCTCATTTGGACTCAAGCGGACCTCGACGCGTCCTCATTTGGACTCAAGCGGACCTCGACGCGTCCGCTTGAGTCCAAAGGTCGGAGGTGCGCGCGCTGATACAATCATGTCATTTTTTTTTTGCCGCACGCGCACCTCCGCATCCCATAGACATCATTTACTACACACAATAGGCTTTTTCTCTGATTTCGAAAGCTCTTCGCGGTCGACTTAGATCTCTTACGAGATCGACGGGTTAGTGATTGCTGTAACATACTGTTTTACGGTCAATGACATGAGGACTAATCAGCTGTCTCGCGAACGTAACAGCACAGTTATCCCCACATAAAAAACTCATAACATAGCGAGGAAGAACTAAGTTACATGAACCAATCCAACTACATATTTTACACCACTCACAAGGGAAAAGTCATTACTCACGGAGTGTAAGGTTAGGTTCCAGCTTTCCGCTGTATCTCTTTCAAGGTAGTGATGAAACGCGTTCTGTAGCGCTGTTTGTTCGCGTTCGGCTACGGTAGAAATATGGCGTCACAATATGGCGACCTTCATAAAAGGGGATTCCCGCGGTTATGTATAAATGTCTCATTCTAAAGTAATAAAACATTACGGTTAATTAAGTAAGTTCTTTATACACCACTGAAAACATAGTTATGGATGTCATATTGCATTTCTGTTTATAGATACTCAACTTTTTTACACATTGCACATTTTAGAATTTACATACATGTACTTTAGTAAGTGGGTCAAAAAGCACCCTAAAGCTCAGATAACTGCATTTTACATACGTACGTTTACATTTAATTGCAACTTGCATCCAATTAAGCGTCCAAACACATTATATTGTTCTTTTAAAGTAAAATAATTCTGTAATAAGGACTCTTTTTAAAAGTATGCTTAAGGCATTTTGAGTCGGAGAAAAACAAGTCAAGCAGGTAGGCCAGCCACAAAGTATTTAATGAACTTCACTTACACAAAACCATAAACAGTGTAGGTACAGATATTTGCTTCTTCAACCAGTATCAGTTTGAATATGCCAGAGGTTCTCCAATTAAGCTAAAAGCTCAAGCGTAATTCCAGGGCTAGATCAAGCACTTGTTCTCTAGCTAATAGAGCTACTACATCCCTTGATTGTCTAAGCATTAATAACAAATCCCTAAATCTCATGACAGTCACATATCTTCCATTAGGTGTAGATAATAGACAGTATACAGGGACTAGATCATTGTTTTGTTTTTCCTGAAAAATGCAGGAAACATAGAAGAAAAAAGCACCAGAAGAGCATTTTTTTGAGATTCAAGTGAAAGAATAACAGCATCTGATTGGCTGGGTTATGGAGGAAAATTATTTATGAAGAGATGAAGTCGGCGCACATCAAAAGTACCAAACTAAAAGAAAATGACGGCTAACGGCACAGGCCTTAACACTTCACCAAAACAAACAATACAAACATATGTTTGTCATATCTCAGTAATTCCCTTTAAGATAATACATTTACTGAATGGTGATTATATTTAAAAGGCACAATATAAATATGTACAGGAAAAGAAACACATCTACGCAAACAAATGAAGAGTACACATTCTTAATTGTCAAAGCTGCTTGAGTAAAAATGCTTTTTCTTCAGGCTCAGTAATGTTCAGTCACAATCTCACAGCGGCCGGGAATATTAGACCCAAACTGCTCGTAAAACCACCTTCAACCATTATTGAAACAATCATTTATCACTGATCAGAAATGTATTGCACACTATCGCACAGTTGTCCTCCCAAACACGTATGAACGAAAGCAAAAAGGTCACAGGCTGGGGCCCCGTAGCTTCAAATCCATGGGTAATTTTGGCTTTATGCAAGAGGTAATAATACAACATCCCACTTAGCCACACGACTTGCCTCAGCGGACAAGAACGCAGTTAGTTCATGTGGCTCGTAATTGCATTATAGACATTTAACAGATATATTTCTAATGGGACGTTTACTTCCAGGAGCTTAAGTTTTCCTCAAAACAACACCTTTATATGGATTTTAAAATATGGAGTTCAAAATTCTCATTTACCTATCCTCATGTTGATTCAAACCTATATAACTTTCTTACGTGGAACGAAAACAGAAAGTGTTGAGCTGCTCTTTTCCATTTAATTAAAGGGTGCAACTGCAATCCAAAAGTCATCAAAAAAGCCTCAAATTTAGTAAGCCATTCATTGAAAATCCTCCGTCATAGGTCTGAAATCTCAAATAATTTGTTCATACAAACACAGCAGGGAAAGAAATGTCACACCAAGTTGAGCAGTTGATTCAGTCTCACAACTGAAACGAACAAAAGGGAAGGCTGTTTGTGTATAAATCAATTCGTTTAGAAAAAAAAAAAAACTTTTAGGCAGTATGACTTCAATCAAATAACATGGTAGACGTATTTGACTTATTTTAGTTATTTTATGGTGATGTTTGGAGTTCAAAAACCATAAAAATTTCACTACGGAAAAGAGCAGCACAAACATTCTCCTTTTGTGCTTCACGAAAGAAAGTCAATCAAACAGGTTTGGGACAAAGGCAACTTTTTTGTGTGTGTGTGTGTGTGTGATTAATTCTTTCAAAAAAAAAGGAACGAAATATACTGAAAGAACTATGGTTTCTTTTATAATATTGCCAAAATTAAAGCAGAAATTAAGTGTGTATGAAGGGTAAAACGCATGCAGACCCCTGGAACTGAGGAAAATTCATATACATACAGTAAAAAGGAAATGTGATCTATGCTAAACCCTGTAGGTACCATCTGAAGACAGATATTTAACGGGCCACGTCGTGATCCGCTTTAAGAACTGAAAAAAAATGCATAATTTCTTGGGAGTCGTCTAAAAGCATGTAACCTGCCATCTCGTAAGAACCAATATCCTGACCTTTGGAATGAGCGCAAATCAAAATGACTTTTCAGCCCTTTAAAAAGTTTGAAAAAAAGAAAAGAGAACAAAGTTCACTCCTAAGTTTCGGTGTCAGTGCATTTGGTCATGTTTTTTTTTTCCTTTGGCGAATCCAGTTACGTTGAAGATGGTAAAGCTACATCCTTTTTCCAAGAGAAAGATGCAGTGAGAACGGGAGACAGTGTTTTCCTCTTTTGTGCACATATGGTTCAGCCTAGTGGGGAGGATAGCTGCCATTGAGAGAGATTGCGTCGTGTCACAGATCTTCTTGAGTTCTTGTCTATGAACGCTAATATTCCAGACTCTACTTCAGCTGCTCCACTGATGCGATGGATAAGGATGGGTGGATGGGATTGCTGATGGGTGCAAACTCAATCTATAAGAAGTCCAGTTCCAGAGCTTGGTGAAGGGAAATCAGGTCTCCATGAGAAGAGATTCGCCAAAATGGCATGTTGTGCTAAACAGTGATGTGCAAACTTATTAGATTAAAAACACGTAGAATACATTTGAGAGAATTGCTTAAAGGTGCCATCTGGCACATAAAATCATATCATATTCCATATTCCATAACAGATGGGGGCAGTATACCACACTGAACATGAACACTGTTGAAAGATACAGTATGCTACAACTTACCAAAATGTATTCCTCATGCATAATATCCACCAATCATTTTTTTTTTAACTCTTCCCTGAACTGAAATGTAGTATTGGGCTGTATTTCCACACGACTGACATCAGGTTCAAGTACACACACAAGCCGCGCGAGTTACTCGTCTATTGCAGTTTGGCTGGTGGTTATGTTGCATACCGCCTCCCATGGCCGAAACTGGTATTACGACACCTGCCGGGCCGGGGCTAGTAATTTAGCATGCTAATTTAGGTTTATATCTCGGCAGCACTATAACTTGTCAGTTTTTTAATGACATCATTGCACTTATTTCTTCTCATTCTTTTGATGCGTGTAGCAAATTTTTTTTTTGGATATTTTTACCTCAATTATTACATATGGCACCTTTAATAAAATGGATTTAAATGTCAAATTAATACAAAAAAGTAGCACTTGCGAAACTGTTCAGGCCTATTGAACTGGGAGAGTCAAAACATGACAATTCACTAGCATTCAAAGGTTTGGGGTCAGTACGATTTTTTTGGGGCAAACAATGTGTACTTTCATTTAGCACACAAATCCTGAAAAAAGTATCACGGTCACAGAGTTTGAAAGGAAAAAAAAAGAGTTTGGAAAACCTTGAATAGCTGTATGATTAGGAATCTCTTAATATGAGGTATTATATTGTGATCATGTATACTGTGTGTCCAAATGCCGCTATTGTACCTGCTTTGCTGCAAACTCTTCATCACGGCCGTCCCCTATAACAACATAGGTCACTTTCTTCCCAAAGCGAGCGATGATGCGTTCAAAACAACTCTCCTTTCCTGTTAACAGACGAGTCATTCAGCGTTACTCATGCGTCAATTTATGCTTGATACCAATGATTTTAAATGAAGAGGATGTTTAAAATGAACATACTGGAATCATTTATTAACCCTCATGGTTGTTCAAAATCATATGACTTTTCTTACCCTGAAACAAAAGGTGAATTTCCAAAGAATATTGTGACTAGAAAGTTCCAAAATGAGCGAAGCCTTCATTCCAAGTCTATGTAAGACATACGACATCTAATGGTGATGTATTATTGCCACAGTCCATGTTTTCCACAGATTTTATTTTGCCAAATGGAAGTATATGTGGAAATGTTGATTTTCAAAGTTTTAACAGCTTAGTTTACATGTTTTGGAGCTTATTAGACTTTTAAAACCATTTTTTAATCTTCAACATTCTCCTTTTGTGTTCTGCAAGTGTGGACCATCTGGCTTTGGAATGACATGAGGGTCTGAATTTTTATTTTTGGCAAACCAAAAGGGTTACCTATTTTAGTAGCACTGTAGATGTTCTCGATGGGAAAGACGTCACCCAGTCCATAGAGAAGCACTTTAGCCAAAGCAGGAACTAGCTGAGTGGTGGTGACCAGAATATTCATACATCTGCCCCTGTGAACAAACAATTAGCCAATGTAAGCGTGTACACTACATTTGATTTAAGCCGACAGATACGCACAGAGAAACCAGTTTGGCATGTTGCTGTAGCACTTCACACAGTGTTGCATCAATGCCTCTGATGATTTCCTGTAAATCATGCCTGCTCTGAGAACAGAGACAGATGTAGTAGGAATGGGTAATAGGTACAGATGTCCTGATTCAATTTAATTCCAGTTCAAACAATTCAATTCTATTTATCTTTGATCAATGTGGTTCTCGATTTGATTCAATGAACATAGATTTAATACAAATAAAAAGTTAATTGTAGAGACCACTGGTGACTCTACGAGCTACTTTTGGAAAACGGAGATGGATTATGTTACTACATTTACATGTTACTTGGAATCATTAACGAAATAAGTTTTGTGAGTAATCTAGCAAGCTCTTTTTTCTTCTTTTTTCTCAGTGCATTGAATGGTATTTGGTGGTTAAGGAGTGTGTTTCTAGGATGTTTTCAGGGGTCTTTTATAAAGAAAATGCTTTTATTTGAATATAATTTTCATTTTTTTAATTTGTGTATTGTAACTATGATAAAAAGGTAAAATGTAGTGACAAATCACATTTATAAATAATTTGTATTCTCATTTGATGACTGATTTCTCAACTTTTTTATGTACACATAAGCATTAACAACCTGATCCAGGGGATATTAATGTTTCTCCCGGCCTTACAGAGATCAATAAGCACTGAAAAGAAAGCAATTTCTCCCTGAAGTCGGAGGAAAAGCGATGGGTAAGACTCGTTCCGCATCAAAGAAATCGACATGCAAGTGTGTCGGTATGTAGCCGAAATAAGAAATGAGCCGCTTTTAGGACGACGGTAAGCTTCTTGGCTGTTTAATGGGAGTTGTTTGATGACTCCACTGCATTGATCAACATAAGCTTAGAGTTTGCATCATAACCTCTCCTTAGTTGCTGGTTCCCCTGCCTGACTTCTTGCGCTCCCTATTGTTGTGGCCAGTGTATAATTGACAAGTAAACGTCTAGACTCTGAATATAAGACAACCATTTTTTCAGATGCATTTCTAAGAAAAGAAAAAAATATATATTCTTAACATATACATATTCTTATTTTTCCTCAAAACTTAAAGAAATACATTCTTGAGGACCAGCTGTGTCAGCATCAGTGCATTTAATGTATATATTATGGGTAGAGATGGTCTTTTGAATATGTTCTCTCATCTTGTACATCTGACTGTTTTTATATGATCTTCATAGACTAATATTATGTGTAGCTTATATTACTATTGATAGTTGTTTTGTAATGCAATGTTTTAATGTCTTAAATTGTGTGCACCTGCCCGGGGACTGCGGATGAAAATTAGCTTCGGCTAACTCTGGCACAAAGCATCTCTTCGTAAGACTAATGTATTTTGTGCATTGTCCCTGATAAATAAATAAAGGAAAAAAAAAAATACGTCAATTGAAAATTTTTAATTTTTTGCCCAGCCTTAGATGCAGGTTTAGTGAATCATACCTTGACTGTACGAGCAAGAGAGATTTGAGAGCAGTGCTCCGCCAGGCATCTGTAACCGTCTCAATCTCTGAGCGAAGCCTGAGCAGTAGGTCTCTCTTCATTGGGCTCAGCAGACCTAAAAAACAGCAATGTTGACATTAAAACGAATTATATTATATTTAATATGCAGTAATTTAAAGATACTACTGAACTTTGTATAATATAAAATCACATGTCTTTAAATATAATAGAAAAAGATACCATTTAGAGGTATTGAGACCCTGCCTGTGTGAACCTGAGACACGAGACACACTCCTACCTCCCACGTTCCCTTGGAATCCATTGTAGATCTCTTTGAGACGGCGATATCTGAAAGCCAGCTTACGCATCCACTCTACTCCTCCCTGTACCGCTGCAGTGGAGCCCGGACCACTGCCCGCACTGGGCGCGCTGAAGCCATCGCTAGAGAAGTTGTAGTTGCTAAGCCAGAATGATCAATATTTGATCAATATTCAATCCAGAATGATCAATATTCAATACATAAAGCAGCTGTTTTTGTCTTCTGTTTGTTTTACTGTGCACAAATAGGGACAGGTATTACAAGATTTTTTTATTCTTCCTGTTCCTTTTTTTTCGTTCATGGAAATAAAGTAATATGTTGTAAAACGGCATGAACGAATAAATAAATAAATAAATATTAGATACAATATAGACTAATCGAAAAACTATTACAAATTCTATTATAATTCTATTTCTATTCTATTATAAAACTATTTCACACAACAGCAATGTGTGTGATGATATAATTAAAACACAACTGAAAAGGAATTTGCTGGTGTAATACCTCAAATCCTGCCCATTGTCATCTGAGGCAACGTCATCAACATGGACTTGATCACATTCCTGATTTGAGAGCAGAGGTATGTGTTATTATTTTCATGAACCTAACAGACAGCGAAATGACCCGTGTGTTACACTTACCTCCAGATCATTGAAAAAGAGATGAGTGTCTGCAAGCTCAAAGATCAACTCCTCCATCTGAAGACCCAGATTGAGAACTGTTGCGGGGTCCTGAATAAATCAAAACATCCCAGAAAATAACAAAATGTCAACAAACCAACTGCAAATCTCTTTAAGATGACAAAAAAAGCAATTTGCTGTACCTTGCCAAACTTCTGTGCAAATGAACCAGTAAGAAGAGAGTGGAAAATGATAATGGTTTCATCCAGATCCCACAAGAAGATACGCTGAGAAAAGAAAAATACTCGTGTCATGTTTGCTGCACTTGGCTGTTACCTAATCCATTATGTTCATCTGTTTTTTTTTTTGTGATATACATTTACAGTATATCTTCATTATATATTTTATATTTATATTTTGCATAGTATTGTTGTTTTTTTGGAAAGCACTTTGGTTCACCTTGAAAAAGGGCTGTATAGGGCTGTATAAATAAATGAAGAGTTTAGATGCAAAAGCCTCTAAGTGCCATTTGAAATTTTCTTCTAAAATGACAATTTTTATCAAACTTGTATATTTAAGTTCAGTAATTTCACTTAAATGACAATTAATAGGTAATCTTCATTGCCATTTACGTGAAATTACTGAACTTAAATATACAAGTTTGATAAAAATGATCATTAAAGAAGAAAATTTCAAATGGCACTTAGAGGCTTTTGCATCTGAACTCTTCAAATATTGATTGATTGATTTCACGATTAATCACTTTATTTTTTACATTAAGCAAATATAAAAAAAATGTAAAGCTCTGTTTTAGCTAAGCAAGCTCAATTTAAAGAGATTGTTCACCCAAAAATAAAAATGCTGTCATCATTTACTCACCCTCATGTTGTTCCAGACCTGCATGAAATTCTTTCTTCTGCTGAACACAAACGAATATATTTTGAAGAATGGCAGTTACCGAATAATTGATTGACTTCCATAATGTTTTCCCCCCATAATATGCTAGGCAATGGGGTCCATCAATTGATTGGTTAGAGGTTAAATTCATTTATTTTTTCCTGCTCTTTTCTTTGGTGTCACTAATTGCATCCCTGTTTCTCTTGGGTTATCATTATCGTAATGTATCATTACTTTTTGTAGTTATTTTCACTTATGTATAATAAATGACTTTTCTTTTGCATTACTTAATTGCTTTAGAATGTTACTTTTAACCCTAGACCACAAGAGTTTGCAACACCCATATTCTACAAAATATCTTATTTAGTGTTCATCAGAAGAAAGAAATTCATACAGGTTTGGAACAACTTGAGACGAGTGAGTAAATCTTCATTTTCTAAAAAAAAAAAAAAATAAATAAAAAAAAATGTCTTCACTAAATTTTCATTTTTTGGGTAAACTGTGCCTCAACTGTGTCAGAATGCAATGCAAGTAAAAGTGAATTTTTCAGTGCTGTTTCTATTTAGTTTCGACATGGGCATTCCTTTTTAGAGGTTAGAATATGTCTCTAAAACTATGCAAGCTGCTGTATTACCTCAAGGTCATTGTCTGTGGACTGGGAGCCGTCTGGTTTCTTGGCTTTGCCTTTAGATTTGCTAGGAGGGTTTTTGCGGTTGGGCTCGTCCTGGTCTTGTGCTCCTGTGGGAAGGGCCATCCCAGCAGGCAGAGCCACACCAGTTGGGAGCGTCACACCTGGGGATGCATCTGGAGGAATGAGCAAAAATATGAACAGCAGTGAGAGCCAGAGAAGAGTGAGGGACATTATGACAATATGATCTAGACAAGGACCTGTACACACACAAAAAAAAAACATTTTTGCTTGCATTTAGTATTAAAACTTAAAAATAACTATTGAAATTAGTATTATTTTTTAACATTCAAAATAATCAAATAAATGAATTCATTTATTAATTAAAACTTTTTTTAAATAGTCATTCTGAGTAAAGTTTGTGAGTTTAGAATTATTATTATTATTTTCAACCATCTGTCTTTTGTAGCTCACCAAGACTGCATTTACTTGATCAAAATATTATTACAATTTAAATAACTGTTTTCTATTTTAATTCAATTTTAAAATCATTTAATCCTGTGGTGACAAATCTGTGGTGTCACATGATCCTTCAGAAATAATTCTAATATGCTGCTAATATTTTTGTTGAAAATCTTTATTTAAAATTATTTTAAAATCTTTATTTAAAATCTATATTTAATCTTTATATTAAAATTATTTAATCCTGTGTTGACAAATCTTTGGTGTTACAAGATCCTTTAGAAATAATTCTAATATGCTGCTAATATTTTTGTTGAAAATCTTTATTTCAAGACACTTTGATGATGAGAAAGTTCAAAATAACAGCATTTATTTGAATTTGAAAGCTTTTGTGACATTTTATGTTTATTTACAGTAATTTAAGATCAATTTAATGTGACCATGTTAAATAAAATTACTGACAACATTATAAATTATATATAAAAAAAATAAATAGTACTCGTACATAGAACGTTTTAAATTGAAAAGGTTTACTGCAAATTCGAGAAGATGATAAACGCACCTGTTGTGTTGGGCAGGTTTGCAGAGGCACTGCCTTCTGTCTTAATGGTTGGATATCCAGGTGCCACTACACCTGCTCCATCTCTATCATTGCTGGGCAGCCCAGCGGACAGGTAACTGGGAGGAGGCACGTAGTACTGGGAGAACTGACTCTGGCCAAGAGAGCTGTAATTTGAAAACTCCTAGAAAAATAAAAAAGGGGACATCAGAAATGAGACAATATACAGTATTCATATAAATTAAAATATTGTTTGTTTAACCAAAAGTAACCAAAGCAAACTACAACCTGCTTTTCTGAAGCCTAATAAGTCTGTGAAAATGTAATGGTTGAAATGATAATTAAATGTTTAAAATCTGAGAATCTATTTTTTCTTTGTCTATTTTTTTGAATCACTTCATAAAAATTGTATATTGTAACATATCATGCTCAAGAACATGTTTTTGCATTTTTAACTTTGTTCAACACTGTATAATATCTAAGCCATGACATTATATCCACATACCTCAGCTAACTAAATGAGCAGAGCATTGCATCTACAGACTTACAGAAATTGTAGTTAAAGCAAGACAACCTGTATAACAAAATATGACTTCAACTTAAAGGGATACTTTTTTTGGAAATAGGCTCATTTTACCACTCCCCCAGAGTTAAACAGTTGAGTTTTACCATTTTCGAATCGATTCAGACAATTTTCTGATATTTAGAAGAATATCAGTAACCAGACAGTTCCTGGTCTCATTGACTTCCATAGTAGGAAAAAAATATACTATGGAAGTCAATGAGACCAGAAACTGTCTGGTGACTGATATTCTTCTAAATATCATAAAATCGGCTGAATACATTCAAAAACGGTAAAACTCAACTGTTTAACTCTGGGGGAGTGGAAAAATTAGCCTATTTCCAAAAAAAGTGGAGTATCCCTTTAAGCATCCTCAAATAAGTTACCCTGTCCTTTCCAGTATTGAGTTGTGTCCTCCACACTCACCTGATGTGTGCCAGTGGCTGTGGTCACGGCAGTTCCTGGGGGGATATTAGTGTACACACTGGATGTGGTAAAACAGGAACCTGAATGGGGAAGCATTATTATTATTATTATTATTATAAAGGATGCCAAAAAGACGTGCAGTAAACAGCTCAGTACTAAAAACGATTGGCGATCATGATGAATATTTCTGAATGAAATGCTGTGCGAGTGTTAATGAAAAGGTTTTGGCGGCTGGAGCTGGACGGATCTTTGTTTCTTAGAAGTCCTGTAATGAAAAGGCTGTGAGGCGCAGAGAGTGTGTAGAGACACACACAGAGAGAGAGAGCAGTAGCAGGCTTGCCTTGGCTGGGGTAGGAGTAGTGGATCTGGTTGGGTTGGGTCGAAGCATAGGATGAGCTGAAGCTGAGAAACCCCGTCTGGCCAACAGGGGGCGCCTCGGGCAGCCGCGACTCGGTCTTTAAGCCCGGCCACATGGAGCCTGAGGCCGTGCATGGATAGATGGCGCAAGAGAGGGCAAAGAGTGGAGGAGAGAAGGGATGCAGAGACCAAAGTGGTGATTAGAGGATGTAATGTAGACGTGAACTGATCTGACTGCCAGCGTACAGTGTGAATGCAGGGTGAGAGTTTAAGTGGAATGAGTGTTCAGATGAATTAAAAGCACAGACAGCAACTGGGTGAAGCACAGACCAAATGGTGGCAGTCCGTACGTCTGGCCGGACTGAGGGAAGCCGCTGTATACGGTCGACTGGCCCAGGGAGGGGAAAGCCCCTTGGCTGGCATACGCAGTGACAGCCGTGCTGAAGAATAATGGAGGAGAGTTAACAGCTGAACATTAAAACACCACTGTACTTAGAGAGGCTGCTATAGACAGAAGTGTGGGTGGGTAGACGATTTTATTTAATTTGACTTAAACAAATGAAGGCACAGTCTGTTCACTGTGGTATGAGCTTAGTCAGCATGCATTCAAATCTTTCTTAATAATGTTCCTGGTCTTATGAACAATAATCTATGCATGTTATTTCAAAGAAGAAGAAATGCGCTTAAAAACTTTCTATGTAACTAACAATACATCGCAATACACAAGTGACAAGCTGTATTGTGCGTACTTCACCCAAAATAAAAATCAGTTTTAGTGTTTTAGTGTCAGTACTACATTAAACTAACTAGCCTATATATGATGTTGAATATACTGTATAATAATGCAATAGGGGAATATTTGTGTGTCCAGTAAAAAGTGGCCTACATTATTTTAAATATATCTAGTCAGTAACAGAGTGCAAGCAGATAATTCTGTATATTCAGCTTTAGAATATCATATATATTTTATTCAGGTGTCACCATTGTCCTGTGGATTGGGTAAGCCTAATTAAGCCTAATTATTTCCACCCTCCAATGCAATAACAAATTTAGCATTTTAAATCAACAATATGTTTTTTGTTAACATTTTACCATACGTCTTGGACTATTGTGAGTTCAGTATCGGGATATGTAGCGAACCCGAGTTACCAGGGTTTTTCCTGGCTCAAAACTAAAACTAGTATATATATATATATGAAGAGTTCAGATGCAAAAGCCTCTAAATGCCATTTGAAATTTTCTTCTTTAATGATGATTTTTATCAAACGTGTATATTTAAGTTCAGTAATTTCACTTAAATAACAATTAATAGGTAATTATCATTGCCATTTATGTGAAATCATTGAACTTAAATATACAAGCTTGATAAAAATGATCATTCTAGAAGAAAATTTCAAATGGCATTCTTCATATATATATATATATATACTCTCCTAAATAACAGAAATACTGTATCATGGATTGAAACAACATTTATTGATGTATTATGTACATGCACAGTAAGTAAATTTCTTAAGCAAGCAAAGAGGGTCGATTATGATCTCATATTTATTCCAAATGACATGCTTGACTATTCAGATCAAGTTTTATTAAGCCGATAACTGATTGTTTTTTGTTGTTTTTTTAAACTACTAACCCGTTTTAAGATAACTTTCAGTACTTACTTGCTTCCTTGGTAGATCTGTGAGGTATATTCAGTGGCTGTGGTTGTGGTGAGGTCTTTGCACGTCACTGCTGTTAACAATGGAGTTTTGGGAAATTGGTGTATTACGCTTTAAATCAATGTCCGAGCAAGACAGCATCTCTTGTCCTGATATAATAAATTGGTCTTACCATTGTGAGTATATGCATTTTCTGTGACACAGCCCTGGGATCTTGAAATCGTCCCTTGATTTGACTGATCTTGACGTCCAGGCACTGTTTGAGGCATTAAGGGGGTGGATTATATTTGCACGTCAAATATCGTATGGTATTGATAATTATTGACATTTTTTATTGAAAAGTTAATTTAAACCACGTTTTTTTTTCCACGTTATTAAGGCAAACAACAAATTATATTAGTTTTAGCATTCCAAAACAAAAACATTGATCGTCGATTAATCATTGACATCCCTAATTTCCTCTGCTATTGGCTTGACAGTATCGCGGTATTACAATATTGCGGTTATTAAGACAATATATTTGCCTAGCAATAGACACATGCATCTTTTACCACCCTAAAATAAACAAAGTATTTCAGATGATAAACATTAAAGCAGAAACCTACTTACTTAAGTGCAAGTGAGCAACAGATGATGGTGGATATGAATTGACCTCTGACTGTGCAGTTGAGTCGTCCCGGTTTGGGGAGTCACTGCTGTCATTAGCAACCACACTGCAAAAGAATTAACTTTTAGAAATTTGTCCTGTTGTCCTCTTAATATATAACGACACAACAATGCAACATGAAATGAGCTTCTGAGATTTGGTTTGAAAATTGTCAGCTTCCAGATTTCACACGAGTGGCTAAAACACTAGCTAGCTGTTCTAAAACTAAATATTTTCTGACATGTCTGACATTTTGATAAAGATAATGAATTCTGACTGAAGAAGGGCAATTATCCAAAAGGGCATCATGCTTTACTTTGACAAGACACTCTTTGTTCTTTCTCTTTCCCCTTAATTGCTCAAGGGCACAACAGTATTAGAGCAAGATTATGATCTTATGTCCAATTCCTTGTATCTGTAGCGCTCAGAATAGCATCCTAGCAGTCTAATCCTTAAAAAATAATGTTGTTTTTTGCAACAGACCTTAAGACCTCACTGTATTGTTAGGAACCACAGGTATTAATTTTGTTGTGTCTGCATATGTTTTTTTGAATCTCAAAGTGATTGCACCTATTGACTTGCATTATATGAATCAGCACTAGTATTTGAGTTTATTGCCATATCAGCATCACCGGCTAATACATGGCAGACCAAAATTAAACATTTAACAACATAATATCACAAGTCCAATATAATGAAAACAAACACCAAAATAAGTAAATATACAAAATAATACAATTCTATAAAATATTCTGGATCCATCCTTAAAAGTTAGGGGGTGAGTAATTTAACAGCAAATTAAAATTTTGGGGTTAATTATCCCTTTAAATAGTATGCTATTTAAGCCTATATTTAAGCTACACATACAAATATGAAATACACCACACCCTTTAATAAAAATGCATATGAAAATATGTAATGAACCATACACCGTAATGAAAATGCATATGAACTTACCGTGAATCACCTTCCTGATTCACTTCTGGATCATGCCGAGCTTTCTTTGTCTATTCAATCAAAACAAAAGAGAAAAAGAGCATACATTTATATATTACGTCACCGTGTTTATTTACAGTGGCTGATGGCATTTGACATAATATGTAAAGCATTTCATGCAGTGACAGATGCATCCAGTAGTGTGACATGCTTTACATAATCTTGCACAACAGCGACTGATTTCATTAACGTTAAAAAGAAATTTTGCAATCCAGCAATTCACTCAAGAAAAGTCCTCATCAATTTCCCATTTGTCGGACAACAGGGCTATTTTTGAAACAAATACAAAAGCTAAAAGGCGACAAAAATGAACCTAAAATAAATGTTTTGATGCTGAACAAGAATAAATTTATTCTGTTTGTCAGCTACGGATGAATTTTTCTTCATTCCTGTACTGGTGTGTGATTAAGTGAAACAATATAACAACACATAATAACTAACAGCTATATTTATTAAAAAGAAAAAACAGATTTTCAAATAAGTGTCATATGGACAATATGAAAGATATCAGCATTGTACTCACAGGTAGCTCAGGCACCTCCTGCGACTCGTTCATGGCTGTGAAAGATGACGTATCCACCGTCAGCCCAAGTAAATCCGCGCCGTCAGTCTCTGCAGTTGCTGCTGCTTCTGCTTTGGCCAAGGCCCTGCGTGAAAGACAGAAGCCAACACTGTGAGACATCTTTATATATGCTCTCCACCTCACTGGGGTTGATCCTCGTCATTTGTGCTGCTGAGAATCATGGGAAAGTCAGGAGAAAAAGTGGGGCTTGCGGGGCCTAATCCCAGTCTCACCCTCGAGGCAGGTGAGCTCGGCACCGGCACGTGAGATGCCCCACAAAAGCACCAGATGTTTCCCCAGTACCATCCCACTCTTCAGCGCACATGCCTGGATTAGATGTCCGCCTCTCCTTACATGTTTACTATCCTACATTTGGTGAAAACTAGGAAGCTTGTATTCTTTCCTGATTATATCAAAAAGGTATTAGGTGTTTCTGCGCAAGCTGTCACATCCAAAGGGTGGGCGAGGATAAGATCTAACCTAATTTTATACACCTCATGTCTTCTTTAAACTGCATTTATATAATTGGTATACGAAGCAGGAAAGGGAAAAAGCAGGTCAGACGCTCACTTACACTTGAGCCAATTTAGCAGACGCTTACCTAAGCGTCATTCATGTAAATGTGGGACTACAATGTTAAGAAAAACACGTGAAGCCCTGAGCAATGCCAATGTCCCAGGAACGTGATGTGGAAATGGAAAAACAAGAGAACCAAAAATCTGAAACACTTTTTCTGAAATAAATGTCAAAATTTGGGTCAACCATCTATAAACCTTTTTTTTGCACCGACGCAATAAAATATTCACATCAATAAAATTGCCCTGTAACGTCACACTTGACTTTACATTGTCGTCTTCTGTTCATAAATAATTCTTCCTTGTGTTAATTTCGTGAAAAATATTTAGTCCAACATTTTACTCTATCAAACTTGTATTAAATTGGCAATAATTACTATTTAGTCAAATACATTTTTTTCTATATAATTATCATTGAACACAATGAATATTGTTGATGGGTTCACGTCACGAGAGCACAACACACATGCACGTGTGTTCACGAGAGCACCATAACACAGGCATGTGAAGAGCAGACGTTACGTGAACACACGTTGGAGATAATTATTTTGTAAATAAAGTAGCAAATTATGTTTCCAGCAAACAAAGCACTTGTCTCACTTCATTGCCACTGTTGCCATCGCTTTTGGCTTGCTTAGTTGGAGACATTTAATATTCAACAATATTCCTTAAGGTGGACGAAGACTCAATTTTCTTCTAGAAACAAACTTTGTTGTATTATTTTCATGTTATCACTGTGAAGCTGCTTTGATACAAAATGTATTGTAAAAAGAGCTATATAAATAAAGGTGACTTGACTTCATAAAATGATTATTTAACCTGTTAAGTGTCACACAACCCCCTTTTTTTTTAATATACATGAAAATGCACATTGTTGATAATTTACTCAGCCCCATGTCATTCAAGATGTACATGTCATTCTTTCTTCAATCGAAAAGAAATTAAGGTTTTTGATGAAAACATTCCAGGATTTTTCTCCATATAATGGACTTCAATGGGAACCAAACGGTTCAAGGTCCAAATTAGAGTTTCAGTGCAAACTTTAAACTGTTCAAAGGGCTTTAAATGATTCCAGACAATGAATAGTGGTCTTATCAAGTCAAGTTTTAGTTTGAAAAACACCCATGTCAGATATAAATTTATAGATTAGCTCAGCTAGAATCATTAGACTCCTCATTAGGTCATCCTAGGCATAACAGTGTGCTGAGTGACAGTACAGTACAGCATAACCCTCAAACAAAACACAGTAGCAGGAGGATCACAATGGCAAAGTAATTAATGTTTTAAGATATGATCCTCAACATACACTAAACAGGACTGACTCGAGGATGGCTGATCAGTGAAAGTGAGGATCTCACATCTTACACTCTGGTATTTCGTTACAAAAACAATGCTTTGCTCCCATGACGCCGAAAAGTGCTGCCTAGGTAGGTAACGTTAGATAAAAAGGATTTGAGACTGAGCCAGTGTTTCTCTCCAAAACTGTGGCCATTTCACCGGAGATGTCCACATACCACACACGTTAAATATGGTCACGTTATCACTGCTGGCGCACAAAAACACTGTTTTCGAGTGGTCGCAGAGTTCATGTAGCGTTTAGCACAGTTTGAGCAGTTAGCCAACGTGTGTTGTTTAGCTCGCGGCTCACTGACCTTACCATTTCACACTAAACCGCTCATTAAAGCACTCAAAATCACAGTGCGTGACACACAAATAGGAAAGAAACTCTTACCATCTCACCAAGTGCTACTTTCGAGGAAACTTTATGTTTCCTTGAACTGAAATTCCCTCGGTGGGGCGCCGTGTGTTGTTAGGGACAACTATTTGGCAGGAAGTCGCTACAATCCCCGACGCGCATGCGCAGAAACGACAAGGGCGACTCGCAAAACGGTAAACCCTTGCAAATTATGTGATGACTGAGTGCTGAGGTAAGCATTTCTGTCACTACGGCTTCGTAAAATATTATAGAGATAGGGGTTAGACTTTACTATGTAAGCCCCCCCAGAACATCATATATAAAATGCAGTTTAATTAAAGTAGCATTTGTTATAGCATTTGTTTAATTTTCTTTCTAAGAACAGTTTAACTGCTTTATACAAAATTATAAATTATTACAGGCGATAGCACTAGTACATAGAAAATAATTCACCCCCCTAAATCTACAAGGATAAATATCAGGGCTACTCCCCCTTGTGGAATGACTATGCACTTTTTTGTTTTTTCACATGTAATAATCAGTCTATCAGGCATCTTGGAACACTTTTCTTTATTATATTAAACGACAACACCAATTTAAGAAACGTTACCCTTTTTTTCAACTTTTAAAAATCCAAGCTCTCAAAAATGTTCGTCATTTAGATGCAATATTTTTGGTTCGCTTCGTACTACGACTAAACCAAATTTTTGCAGCATAATAAGCCTGCACTAATGCTCCAGCTAACATTTTTAATGTTTGAGTATTTAGAAAAGCCACCTGTCTTACTGAATGAACAAAAACAGCCATATTTTCTCCTGTCAATATCTATTCTAATACACATCCCAGATACTTAACTTACTGTTTTGGTGTAATGATCAAGTCACCAAACTTTACCTCTAATCTGGAGCTTTTCCCCCCCATCCATATTGAGCAGCGCAATTGTTTTTAACATTGATTATAGTAGAACAGTTTGTTGAGCAGCAAATCAGCATATTTGAATGACCACGTGACATGGAAAACATGGAGTAATGATGCTGAACATTCAGCTTTGCCATCAATCACAGGCCTACATTTTATTTTGAATATATTCAAATAGAAAACTTAAGTCTTACTAATATTTCACAATAGTGTTTGTATTGTGTGTAAGTTTGTATTTTGGTCAAATAAATGCAGCCTTTTTACTCCATTTATCCATTTCCTGTCACATAGGGTTGTGGTGGAGAACTCAGGTCGTGGGCAATGAAATACCCTGGGTGGATGACATGAGAAGATTCACAACACCAAAACTGAACAAATAAAACATCAAAAACAAAAGTGAAGAATAAGTAGACATGTCGGGATTCATTTTTCAATTATTTATTTTGCATTCAAATAGATCATTCTTCAATATTTCATCAATCTAAGAATTTTAATACTCTGATCATTAGAGGTAAAATATGTGACATGTAAATAAATATACATGGAAAAAATATAAAACAATATATGAATAACTTCCAAAAATGGAAGAAAATAAACATCATCAATATTGCCATGTTTGTAGTCATCTAAAAAAATATTGTATAGCACATAACTGGTCCAATGATATGAAATACATTACAATTAAAATAGGGATGCGTTTCATGAGGGCATCCAAACCCCTCTTCTTCATTAAGTCGATGCCACTCAGTCGTCTCAACAACGCCTTGCATGACAAATTGTTCACATCTCTTTCAAGTCACCATTTCTATTGCACAGCATTCCATGTCCCTGTCCAACCCAGAACGATGCTGACAGGAATGATAGACACACATGGAAATGCATCACAACATACATAAATGAGCTGAACAGGCACAATTTTAACAACAGCAACAACAACAAAAAGACAGTTCCTTTTGGGCTAGTACATATAAATACATATAACATGATGCAGGTGCTTTCAATACAATCTAATCGACATGCTCGACAGTAAACAGCGATCGCTTCAGGTTGTGATGATAAATGGATGTTTAAAACATACATCCATCTCACTCAATGTATGATAAATGAATGCGATGTATGCCTTCCCAAGAAACAGTGTCTGGCATGTTGTGTAAAATGCTGGTATTGGAGAAAAAAGGAAAGAAAGTGCTTGTAAGACAAAATATACATTTTAGGAGGAACACAGGATCAATCTGACGCTTCGTAATCTAAACTAATTTCCCTTCTAATATAAAATCTGAACAGGACCAGAGTTACGCACTAAAATAATGCAGTATTATAAATATTGCAGGTTTTAAATGAACATTTGTCAATCATAAGTGTACTCATTAAAAATGTATTGATATTTGAGCCGTACAGCCTGTGTATCCTCTTGTACTGGTAGTGGTTGGTGTATGCCATCCATATATTTTGTACATTTCTTGATCCTTTACCTCCACTGTGCAACGATGCATGAAAAATGCAATTAAATAAAACATCATCCAAAGACAATTTGATCAAATGTAAAAGATCAGAGAAGAAGGCATTTTGCCCGGTAGCTGGTGCCATCATCTTCGGCAAGCCACGGCCAATTTGCCCGTTTCCCTCGTCTCACAGATCATCAGTTAAACTCTCAGGCACTTCTAAGCTCTCTCTCTCTCTCTCTCTCTAGGAGCTCAGGTCCTCTTTGCAACCATTGGCACACATGTCATGTTTTCTGGAAGTTGTTACTGTAACGTCCCATGTTCCTCCTGGGCATGCACGAGTATCCGGGTTGTATCAACGTCCCTTTGTGCTGCCAGGTCGTACTTGCGAATAAACTGGAAGAGCTAAGTGTCCCACCCTGTGGTCCTTCTTCTGTCCCGATGCTGGAATGGACATTCTGGATGGTGTCACAGAGGCTGTTACTGGAAGGCATGGTCGGCCGGTGGACCATAAGAAAAACCTGGGAACGCTCCAGCGGCCTCCCGTACGCTGCTGGTCATGTGCAGGTTATCAGTGTTGCATAGGGAGCTCGACACGGGTAAGTGTGTGAACTCTGGGTCAAAGTGCCGAAGGTCAGTGGGACCACTCTGTAGATTTAATAGAGACAACGTATTACATCTCTATGCAAAGACAAGGATTTATAGTAAACTAAAATATACTTTTGAAAAAAACTTTTGCTGATAATTTACTCACCCCCGTGTCATCCAAGATGTCCACGTCTTTCTTTCTTCAGTCGAAAAGAAATTAAGGTTTTTGATTAAAACATTCTAGGATTTTCTCCATTTAATGGACTTCAATGGGAACCAAACGGTTCAAGGTCCAAATGAGGGTTTCAGAGCAGCTTCAAAGGGCTTTAAATGATTCCAGACGATGAATGAGGGTCTTATCGAGTCATGACTCGAAATGAACGGGAGAGTCACGAACGCTCATCACAGAACAGAGCAAGGCGAGCATTTGTGCTTATAAAACTTAATTTTTTTTTTTTTTAAATGAGCGATCGTTTCGCTTGATAAGACCCTTATTCATCGTCTGGTGGTCTGGTGTCGTTTAAAGCCCTTTGAAGCTGCACTGAAACTCTCATTTGGACCCCATTGAAGTCCATTATATGGAGAAAATCCTGGAATGTTTTCACCAAAAACCTTAATTTCTTTTCGACTGAAGAAAGAAAGACGTGGACATCTTGGATGACATGAGGGTGAGTAAACTATCCGCAAAAGTTTTTTTAAAGTGAACTAATGCTTTAAGGCAAAACACCATTTTTTCGTGCATTGGTCAATTTGACGATTTTGGGCAATTTTGCTTTCATAACACGTAGACTACTGGAAAGAACGGTGTTTATTATTATTATTCTTTATGCATTTGCAGCTGTAGATTTCAAATAACACAAACCTTTATAGGCTTTTCTCTCAAAAATTAAAAAGATTCTAAACCAGCAATCTTAAACTTTAGTAGCTCTTGGATACACCAAACATACTCTATTCACCTGTTGTGTATTGCAATTGCACATTTGTAATAATTAAGTTTATTTAAAAATATATTAACTTTAAATGTAATATTGAAAAACACGCCACAATACTTTACATGTGTTTTAGTATACTGTACGTCAAGCCACTTCTTTTTAAAGCACAACATAAGGATTGATTTAAAATGTACTAAAAAGATGAGTATTATTGCAAATTATCACCATGCAGGTAAATTAGAAACTTAAGTCAAGTCAAGTCAAGTCAAGTCACATTTATTTATATAGCGCTTTTCACAATACAGATTGTATCAAAGCAGCTTCACAGTGATAACATGTAAGTAGCACAACACAGATCAACAACATTGCTAAACACTAAATAAATAACCCCAACTGAGCAAGCTCAAAGCACTGAGCAAGCTCAACTTACCACTGAAGGAATGAAAGGAGGGATGATCTTTTTGGCCATGAGGTCATCCCAGTTGATGGGAGAGAAGAAGCTGTGGAACTTCATCTCCAGCTACAAATAAGCAAAAGTTTGAATAAGAATCGCAAATCTGAGGAAAATAAACCATATGCGAGTAGCACTGGTGTGTTTTTCCACTTACAAAATCATCTTTGGACCCCAGTCTCTTGGTACGGTCCTTCTGCAGCAAACCCTCCAGCAGGTCACGGCCAGAATTGGACACGTTAGGCTTCAGGACTAGAGGCTTGTGAAGGATGTTGTTGTACATCTCGGCAGTGTTGCGACTGTAGAATGGAGGCTAGAAAACAAAGTGCAAGAGATGAATTGATTGCTAAATGTATCATCCGCTACAATGTAATAAAAAATGTTTTTTCAAGTTTCAAAATGCCTCAAAATTGTAAGTTTAGTCACAAATTCACATTTCAAGTTGACTAAACTTACAATTATAAGGCGGCCTGAACACTTCTTATATTGAAATAATAATCACATATTCTCACCAGTCCATACAGCATCTCAAACAGTACTGATCCCAGGCACCACCAGTCTACTGTACGATCATACGCCTGTTTCTGGAGGACCTCAGGTGCCAAGTACTGTGGGAGAGGAAAATTGAGAGAAGAAAGAAATCAAACCACTGTTTAAATCCAAATTTCTTGTCAAGTATAGACCAACTTCATCTTATATTCCCCTGTGAACAAGAAGTACACCTTTGGATAAAAGAGCACTTATTACAGAAATAATATACTTTAAAATTATACTATTTATACTATTTATAAAATTATACTATTTAAGTGTGAACTGAACACTGTGGAATTAAAAGGAAATGTATAAATGTAAATGTATGTGCTAAATTATAATAATCTTTAATTTCATTTTTATTGAAACTTGTTTGTTTAAAAATAGTTAGAATGATGAAGTTGCAAACTAATATACAAACTTTAATATAATACGAGTACTTTACATGTGCTTTAGTATGTTAGTAAACACAAAATATGTGTACTTTAAAGCATGACCAAAAAAATGAAAACAGAATTATTTAAAATGTACTTCAATGTAAAACATTTAGTTTGATATTTTAAAAGTGTACTTTAAACAGTCATGAAAGTAGGGCTGTCAAACGATTAATCGCATCCAAAATAAAAGTTTGTGTTTACATAATATATGTGGGTGCACTGTGTATAATTATTTTATATATATATAAATACAAACACATACTTGTATATATTTAAGAAATTTTATATATATTTTTTTTTTAAATTAAATATACATGCTTGAGTGTGCATTTATATATATATATATATATATATATATATATATATATATACACATATACAAAATAATTATACACAGTGCACCCACATATATTATGTTAACAAAAACTTTTATTTTGGATGCGATTAATCGAAAATTAAAGTGTCCCTTTAAGTGGCCTACACGTCAGTGGCCCTCTATTTCATTATTTTAATATAATCTGCTAAACTTTTTAATGAAGTGCACGTTCAATACAATTAAGCACACTTCTTTTTCCACGAGATACTCATTAATGGACGACCTACCTCAGGAGTTCCACAGAACGTTGTAGTTGTGCCATTTGATTCCAGTCCTTCTTTGCACAGACCGAAATCTGTCAGCACAATGTGGCCCTGACAGTCCAAGAGGATGTTCTCCGGCTTTAAGTCTCTGTGAAAATACCCCATGGTCACCACCATCCAATATAATGAACAGAATCAAGTACTCAGTTCAACCACTTCTCCACTAGAGGGCATTCACATACCTGTAAACTATGTGCAGTGAGTGGAGGTAACCGAGAGCACTCGCTATCTCAGCTGCGTAAAACCTTGCCCTGGGCTCCAGAAACACCCTCTCGCGCTGGAGGTGGTAGAACAGCTGCAGAAGAAAAACACCAAGAGTTCATGAATTCAGTCATCTATTTTAAGCTGAGACATGACCTCTTTCAGCCCACGAATGCATTGTTTACTAACCTCGCCTCCATTGACGTAGTCTAGCACAAAGTACAGTTTGTCTGTGGTTTGGAAAGAGTAGTGCAGCCCAACCAGGAACGGATGTTTGATATTTTTCATTAATACGCTCCTTTCCGCCATGATGTGCTTTTGCTGAGAAAACATTTTGAATGTCATTGTTATTATGATTGTGGTCAAGTGCGTTCACATCCATATGAGAACATTGCATTAGGTCTTACCTCTTTCTTTTTCAGAATGATTTTCTTCTGTAGCACCTTCACAGCATAGTACTGTTCGCTTTCCTTGTGCCGCGCGAGCAGAACCTGTGAGTTAAGACGCCGTTAGCATTCACAGTTTAGAATATGACAAATGTTTACACCTTGACTGTATAAAAAAAATGAAAAGTTGCCCACCTTTCCAAAGCTACCCTTCCCGATGATCTTTAAGTAGTCAAAATCTGAAGGTTTGATCCTGTTATGGAAATACATTTTATTTTAAAAAACATCAGTAATGCAAACAGCCTCCAATTAACCAAACAAAAGATGGGAAGAGTAACTACGTACTGAGTTTCTTCAGCCAAAGAGCTCCTGGGATTGGTCAAACACAGGTGATTCTGTTCCAGCTCCTCATTCTGGTTTTCATCGATTTTTAAGAATGAATCAACGTCATCACTAGAGAAAAGAGATTGAAAAAAAAAATATTAGGGATTTTATTTCAGATAAAACAAAAGTGTTTTGTTTAAAAACAAAAGACAAACAAAATATTGTGTTGGGCTTGGGCAGTCAAAAAGGTTGAGAACCACTGCTTTACATGACTTATTCCTTGTAATGCATTTGCACACAAATAGATGGCAGTGTTGTTGAAGTTCTGGTTTTGGAACATTCAAAATTACTTGTTTAAAACTGAATCCGACAAGACAGCTGCACTCGGTGCAAGAAAATTGCATTACATAAATCTACTAAATTATAGATCAAATACTATTATATTAAAACCAGATAAAATCAGTCCTCCTGCCTCCAAATTAAAGACTTTAGTCTATTGAGGGACACCCCCAGCATCTGTGGAGCATATGGAGGGAAGAGATGCGCTGAGATATTTTCCACTGGTCCGACCTGAATAAGACCAAATGGGCCGCGCTTAATTGAGTCAGGCCCTTATCCTCGTCTGGGGACATTAGGGATTTTCTCAAAGGTGCTTATGCAGCCAAGCGGCGGCCTTGGCAGCTGCCTTTTGCAGAGAACTATTCTTGTGCTTGGCTTTATCTTGCCGGTACAGATTAACCTACACAATTAGCAGAATGTACAGCTAAAGTCCGATGATGGGATTACAGGTTACACCAGAGGTTACAGTGTTGCCTTCGTGAAGTGAATGAATGATGGAAATTTCCTGAACCACTTTCTTGCTGATTTTGAAAGACAGAAGTCATATGCTCTCACTTGTTCAATTGTCTGAACAACATTCTTTCATATAGGTAAAAATGCAGCCTCATGCTTTTTAATTTCTCATATAATTAAACATCTGGATACTTACTGTTGACAAATGGGAGGGTTGGAAACAAGCTTCTGGATGAAGTCGTTTAAGCCCATCTTCCTTTCTTTAATAAAAGCTGAAATGAAAAAAGAAAAAAGAAAAACATTTAGCCTACGTCAGAAGGAAATCCACAGCTGACGTCATTAACACCCGCATTTGAACTGAATGAAATGCCAATGTGAAGGGAAACGTTTAAAAAAAATCTTAGAGGTTATCGACAAAATAATCATTTGCACGTCATATAGCTATCATGTAGCTTTATACAATATACATGCTGTAATTCAGGATCCGTGTGAATGTGTTTAATGTCAAGAGCGTCTCAGTGTTACGTTACACAACAGACCGCATTGCTCACTGCAATTGTATACACCTACGATACTTCATTTCTTTCATTCTCTTGAAATACCGACCACCTAATTTACTTAACCAATATAAATAACGATTAAACCAGAATAAAAATGCAATGCAATATTTTTTAAAATGCGACTAGCGAAAAAAAAATAAATAATTATAGACCGTAATCCAAATAGACTGTAGACTACAAACAGAACAAAACCTCTAAAGACATTTGTTTTCTCCCAATTCAATTGTTTAATTGCATTTTTGACATATTGTTTTTTTTTGTTTTTTTTTTGTCTAAAGCATAATCATAACTCAAACAACTCGAATAACTCAAATCTGTTGAGAGAGACATACCGGTGAGGACGGACACGATCCCCCTCATCTTGCAGTATGTCAAGTCGCATCCAGCCTGAGTAACTGCCATCACTATTATTGTCTAAGAATAAATCCACAGGATGAACGTATTCCTTTAGAAGCCTTTATAGCAACGCGCTGATGTCCCAGCCGTGTGAGTTTGACGAAGCGCACTAACGGGTCTTGATGGCAGGCTGTTGGATGGGCAGCGCTACTGTCTTTCCCCGCCAGCGCTGGGCTCGTATTTTTATACCGAACACGTGGTTGTGGAGGCGAGGCTCTGACATCACTTGGGTAACCGAGGAGACTTGAAAAATGTGATGTCACGGGATCCCACGAATCTCTGTTTCGCCGGTAGGAGGCGATGCAAAGGGGGCGGAAGCGCTTCCATTCAAGTGAACCAAATCACACGAGTACTGATTTAAAATTTGAGTTATTACTTCATGACTGCTAAAAAGTGTGTTATATAATCATATAACACACTTATAGCCTATCTGTGTGCTATCATATGCTATCTCTATATCCGGGCTATCATATGCACACCAAAATCTCGCTGGAAGTAGAAGGTCGTCCAGGTACTTTTTTGCCTACTGTGAATTTGGACATTCAGACCTACTGCTTTTGTCACATCGTTTTTCGTCTAGACTAGGGAAGTATGCGATTTCGGACTCTCCATCAGTTGGAACTTGGCTTTACTTCCTGAACTTAAACCAGCTCCTTGTTTCCTGTCAGCCATTATTGGACAAATTGATTAATTCAGGTGTGCCTGACCTCAGTAGTCACGGCAACAATAATCAGACACACCTGAATTAATCAAGTTTGGCCAATAATGGCAGACAGGAAACAAGGAGCTGGCTTAAGTTCAGAAAGTAGTGCAGCTGTGCATAAAGCCAGATGCAAATTGCTACACATCTGGCTCACATCTCATCATAGTGCAACAGATTAACTTCTAATCCTTATCAGTAATGACGAAGAAGAGCGTGAAGAAGTAATAAATGAGAAGTGAAATGCATTCAGTGAAATTAGGGCTGGATCATGCACATGATGACATGAGATTATAGTTAATGGAAGACATTCCTATGCTAAATAGATTTGATAAAATATTCTCCCCATTAGGCCTAATGACGTAAGCTACAATATTAATCTGTTTAAGCCTGTGTTTTTAACAGATTCTCATCTGTGAACAAGCCGACATGTTCAAGCAATCCGACCGAGTTAAGGGTGAGGAGTCCGCATCATTTAGTTATCAGCCTTTCTCCATATGTGGTCCACTGACCCTGTAAGTTATATAAGTTTGTCGTAACACGTAACATGATGCCATCCTCGATTTGGGGTTGCAGGGGCCCCACAAGAGAATATAAAGGGGTATGCAGAAAAGATGTTTACAGTGAATGTGTCTGTGTGTGTGTGTGTATATATATATATATTAGGGCTGTCAAGCGATTAATCACATCCAAAATAAAAGTTTGTGTTTACATAATATATGTGGGTGGACTGTGTGTAATTATATATATATATATATATATATATATAAAAATACACACACATGCATGTATATTTAAGAAAAAAAATATTATTTATGTATAAAATATTGATATTAATATATGATATAAATTATAAATAAATCTATATATAGTATATATACATGAAAATATTTCTTAAATATATACAAGCATGGGTACTTATATATATAAAATAATTACACACAGTATAGCCACATATATTATGTAAACACAAACTATATATATAGTTTAGCAGTTTAGTTTAGCAGTATATATATAGATAGCAGTTAGGATATATATATATATATACTCTTAACACATTTAAAATCTCTGTTTCATTTTCTTTTGTGTAAAGTTTAATATTTTTTTGTGATATTCTGTGATTTTTATTTTTTGTATATAGGCATATACAGTATATATATATATATATATATATATATATACATATACATACATATATATACATATACATATTATGCATACATATATACATATACATATACACATATATATATATATATATATATAGGGTTATAGTATATTAAATTTTTATATTTTTGTTTGTCATTTTAGTAGCCTGCGTCAAGTTAAACTAAATAAAAAGAAGAATGTTGCTTTAACAATAACCCTCAGGCACATGATTTGCATATCCACTTCCATAGAAGCATTTGGGACTTCCTCTGGAATGTATAACCTGTTGTATCTGTAAATCCAGTCTGCACATAATGCCACTGGAAGTTCTTTTTGAGAGCTTTAAAATCACCTGTCCAGTAGATTGACCAGTTTACACAAACAGGACCAGGTGGCATGACATTACCTGACTTAAAGGTTAGTTTATTATTAGTTTATATAGTTAAATTATGTGATTAATGACTCACCCTCATGCCGTCCCAAGCCCGTAAGACCTCCGTTCATCTTCTAAACACAGTTTAAGATGTTTTAGATTTAGTCCGCGGATATTTTTCAATGGAGCGACAGAAAACTCTCGGACTAAATCTAAAATATCTTAAACTGTGTTCCGAAGACGAACGGGCCATTTCAAAGTGTATTCCTAAATTTAAATATATACCCAAAATATCTTACTCTTCTATGAAAATAAAAAAAAAAAAATATAGTGCTGCTGATGATCACTTGCAATATTTTGGTGGGGGCAAATCAAAAGCTCTAATAATCCAATACCCTTCCAATAAGTAAATATTTGTTTGTCTATGCTGACACTAGGACAGAGAATCAACAATATTATCCATCTGTTGACTATCTGGTGGTTCAGCTTTAAAACCTTTTCTTTTTTTGTCTCGTCTCTTCCTTCACCTGCTATAACCTCCCCATATTTCCACATAACTGTGTTACTGTAACAGTATCTCATATGCCAAGCGCACAGCAAAGTCTTTCCACTGCTCACCGAATGTCCTTTGAATGAGTCATTTTGTCATGGTTGCCAGAGATCCAATTATTACTATTTATTTCCTGTTACTATACTTGCCACGTTACCATGGAGACGCAGGTCGACTGAGAGTGAGCATTTGCATAACAGGCCGAGTCTTTCGGTCAAATACCGTCTGCCACACTCTGGTGGGCAGGAAGTGAATCATCTGAAGAGATGGGGGAGTTTATTCTTGACTTCTGCACCTCCTCACACTGCTAGATCGATTTCTCTAGCTGCCATTATAGCTTAGTCCGACCCATGGTCTCACTTCTGTGTTTTTTTGGGGGGTTTTTACAAATTGATTTGTGATTCCCCCTATTTGCATTTTCTCTCTCCTATCTCATCCATCATATGCCTCATCTATGTATTGTTCTCAGTAATGTGTTTGTGTTTGGAGCTCAATGGGAGCTGTGTATGGGCATTGAGGCATCTGTAGGTGGGTGTTCTTCAACTGTTAACTATATTGCAAACTATGCTGATTACAATGGAGACACGACATGAGTTAGAAAACAAGTTACATGAATATTAGTAGGTCTGCACCATTGGTGGAGCACTTCATTGCCATTTTGTGGCGAATCCTGCATTAAGACGATCCATAAATTTAATATAGCCTATCAAATAGCTGCAAAGAGGAAATGGAAACTATTTACAATAAGGTCCAATAACATTATAGTTAATGCATTATGTATTATTAACTAAAAACACTCAACTTTTATTTGACAGCATTTAGCAGTTAATGTAAGTTTATAAATATATTTTAATAAATAAATATATTTGATAAAATACATTTTAATTCATAAATATTTTTTATTTTATATTTTAACTATAAGTTAATTGAATATCAGTTTTAAATTAAAGAAATTATTAGTTGTACAGTCAGTTCCAGTTGTAAAATAAATAAATAAGCATTAAATCAGAGCTAAATTAATTAATTTGTTAAAATTAATTTAATATCAACCTAAATTAATAAATGTACAAGCATGATACCTACAGTAATTCATTAACTAATGCATAACATAACAAACTGAACCTTATTGTAAAGTGTTAGAGAAAATGACCAGAAATAGTTACATATAAATAATGACATATCCATTTATATAGATTAAGCTTTTTTCCACATAAAATCATTATATGCCAAAGCTAATCTCCTTTATCACTGCTATAACAATAGTCAAAACAATAACAATATAACAAAGTCTGCTGAAATCTTTCAGTGTTTCCTCTAAAAGGATTATATTAAAAACACCTCATTTAAAATGGGACCTTATTTTCTGTTTCATAATGAAACAAGACATGTGAAGAAAAAAATCAATAATCAAACATTGGAGTACAGTGTGCTGATGAATCATACACAATTAAGACTATGTGTAGTTGTGTGTTGAAGGCTCATGAAGTAGGTTGAATGTAAAAGTGAAACAGAGCATCCTGTTGACCCAGGTAACAGATGAAACAAACAGAGATCAACGCCTAGACAACTGGATTATGTCTGTGATTAATGAATGAATGGATGGAGTGGCAAAGCTGATCTTCCAAACACAATATGTGCTATGATAATGATTTTATCTGTAATATTGCTTCCTATTGAAAGCAAAATGAAAGACTTAAAAATGAGGGCAAATAGAAGGACCTCATACAATATCCACAATGTCAATTGACCTTTTTATAAAGGTGGTGCAAATGTCACATTTGAGAAAATGATATTTAACCTGCACTAAAAGGTTATAGAACCTTAAAAGGTTCTATCAGTGCTACGTATTTGGAACCCCTAAAAGGTTCTATACACTCTTAAAATAAGGGTTCCTCTGGGTTCTATATTCCGTACTTGGCCAATAGAACCTTTTACCAAAAAAATGGTTCTATATAGAACTATTTTGGAGTTCCATATATGAAGCGGGGGATGGAACCATTTCTGGTTCTAAATAGAACCATTTCTTCTAAGAGTGTGGCATCAAAAATTTATACGACTTCTGCCACCCTTAAAGTGAAAGTTAAAAAGTCCCATCACTTGACTGGTGTTTATTTTCTAATGACGGCAGAACATCCTTAACAAACACCTCGGTCACCTCTGCTGTCAGCGAGAGATGGAGAGGACGAGGAGGTGTGTGAAAATCAAGCCCTGCCCTCATATTCAGTTTCCCTCAGAAATACATAACAATATGGAAGTCTGCCGCAACATCCGGCTCATTTAACATGGGGATTTTATGTGTCTTACCTCAGATCTTTTGTCTTTTCAACTGCAAAATTGCGACACCTAAGAGCTAACATATTCAGATCTGTTCTACAAGATGATGAGAAGTGCATTTTCTCATTCTATCTATCTATCTATCTATCTATCTATCTATCTATCTATCTATCTATCTATCTATCTATCTATCTATCTATCTATCTATCTATCTATCTATCTATCTATCTATCTATCTATCTATCTATATATATATATATAGTTATTTTGAATATTGAGGTGTTAGCTGCATTTTTCAAGAACAACTATTTAACCCTGTTTCACGAGTTACTGTAAATGTGTTTCTTTTATTACTAATATATATTTGTAAATGCATTAACAAGTGTTTGGTCCTCAACTATAACCCTACTTAGTGACAGCTTAATTTAGGCCAAATTTACAACCCTGTTACTGTTATCCTGCTACTCGTATAGTTCTTAAATATTGTCCATGTGATATTGATGTTTATTGCATGATCATAAGCATCGCACAGAGCTTTATTTAGACATGTCCCACAAATTTGGAAACAGGGTTGCAAAAATTGCATAAACAAATGAGCCTAGGCTCACAGCATCACATTTCCTTTGTTACGAGGACAGTTTAAGGCCTAGATAAAGAATTAGTACAATACTTATTGTGTTTATATGCTGTATCAAATCAATTTTGCTGCTATTGAGGTGAGATACAGGTAAGGTTAGGGACAGGTTAGGTTCAGAAGTTGGTAACAACAATACAACAGTGTAATTATAGACGTAATAAATATGTATTTATACATAATAAGTGCATTGTATCAAATGTATGAATTTAAATGTTAGCACATAGACGTCCTAATATAAAGTGGGACCAAGATTTATTATAACTTTTTTTAAAGACCATTACCTATTCTTTTTGACCCTAGCTTATATAAATAAATGGTCCATTTACTAAAATAGTGTAATATGTTGAAGTATTCATACGTTTGATGCAGCTCAGTTTCAATAAATGGTCATTTTGAACCAAAAAAGAAGGTTTTGGTTCTGAAAGAGTACATCTACTTTTTTCAAAGATCAATGAAAATAAAATTTCATCTTGATAAATCTCATAAAATTGGAGCAACATTTCACATAAAGTTTAATGGTAACACTTTACAATAATGTCCCATTACTTAACATGCAACTAACATTACCAAACAACTAGCAGTATTGTAACCGTATTTATTTACCCTTTTTAAGGTTACTTATTAGACATACGACTGAAATACACAATAAAACTGTATATTGTTAGTTCATGTTAGCATGTTAACAAACGAAACCTTGTTGTGAAGTGTTACCTGTACTTTGTTACAACTGATCCTGGTCAGTTTATAGTTGAAAAACTTCCTACCTATGAATGATTTCTTCCCAGTCTTCATGGTCATTTAACTCTCAGACAGTCCAGAGTAGATCCTTCTTCTTTATTGTGCTTTGACAGAAATCCCTGTGAAAGCTGATTCTAGTGCAGTCTCCTCAGCAGTTCATCATTTTGAAACATTTTGCATGCGTGTAGGTGTGTGTCTAAATCTCTCTAGTGCTGCGGGATTGTTAGAGGCGGTCTCGTCGCTTCAAACACAAATATCAGCAAATTATTGGCCTCATCACTCTTTGCTCTGTATCTCTTCGCCTCTCCTTTTGCTCTCCGTGTCTTTCTCATAGTTCAATGATAACTGAAACCAAAAACTGGTGACGTATCTCCAGCCTCCCTTGTTCTTGAGTCTCGCAAACAAAACAAAGCGACAGGTGTCGGATAGCAGCTCGTCTCACGAGTGTCCAGGTACCGCCCTAGGGAAACCAGTTTCCAGGTTACAGCAGTCACTAGGGTAATACCTGCACCATCTTCTACACTGGTTTAATTGTGCCATAAGCTTCTAATGACTTCCCAGGTCCCAGGGAATATCTTACATGAAAAAAAAACCTGGATAAAAACAATGACTTGGCAAGTTTTTCTAGTTTCTTGCTGTTAGAAATTGCCAGGGCAGGCAAATGTGCAACTACACCTGGCCAGGATGGTTTGTGTAAATAGGCCAGAGGCGGTGCATTTATTACATACACTGGCTAATATACAGTGATGTGAATAAGTTTGGACACCCATGCTAAAGTTGCCTAAAAAGAGGAATAAAAAAATCATCTTTTGGATATTGATCTTAATGCCTTAATTAGAAAAATGAGGAAAACTCCAACCTTTAAGGACACCAATTTTCTTTGTGAATGAATAATGTATCATAAATAAATAAATGTTTTTCCTTAAAATACAGGGTGCATAAGTCAGGACACCCCTATGTTGAATTCCCATAGAGTCAGGAAGATTTTAATTTTTAAAAGCCAGTTATTTCATGGATCCAGGATAATATGCATCCTGATAAAGACCCACATCATCACACACCATTCACCATGCCTAGAGATTGGCATGTTTTACTTCAGTTAGCCTAATAGCTGGTTTGATTTGCATTGAAAGATGATCTTATGGTGTGTGATGATGTGGGTCTTTATCAGGATGCATATTATCCTGGATCCATGAAATAACTGGCTTTTAAAAATAAAAATCTGCCTGACTCTATGGGAATTTAACATAGGGGTGTCCTGACTTAAGCACCCTGTATTTTAAGGAAAAACATTTATTTATTTATGATGCATTATTCATTCACAAAGAAAATTGGTGTCCTTAAAGGTTGGAGTTTTCCTCATTTTTCTAATTAAGGCATTAAGATCAATATCCAAAAGATGATTTTTTTATTCCTCTTTTTAGGCAACTTTAGCATGGGTGTCCAAACTTATTCACATCACTGTATGACGCATAATCAGCTATGACATCAAATGGTTACAATTTCATTCAGCTTCATAAAAAAAAACAATTTGGAAGAGATTTTTAAAGAGACAACTGGACTTTTATTACTGATTTCCTGCCCAGTGCACATTCATCTCCCACTGTAGAATAGTTTTATGTTAATGGCCTTTCGGGTAATAGAGTGCACCTCAAATGGCATCGGCTGTTCTTTCTAAACGGCTGGCTTAATGGCACACTGGAAGTTTAATGAAACCATTATATCCTCATTATTGCCTAGCCCTTTCTATAGGACACCTCAATATTTATGTCTTCATACGTTCTGCAACCAATTCAGCCTGGAATCAAAGGAAGGACACAAAAGCAATTTCAGCTAAAGCTTTCTCTCATCAAACTGTTGCGAGAGACGACACAACTCTAAATTAGGATTTTGTTCATCGTTCATAATGTTCTTATTCAGGTTTTTGAGTGGTGTGAAGGTCCATCACTGTATTTTATTGATGACTGTATTAGCACCAAATCTATTATAAAATGGCATTTTAAAGTGAGGACAATGAGCTGGTTGTCAAACCGAGTGGATTTTCCACTTTCTATTGACGTTTTCACATCTTGAGGTCGCATATGTAACTGGTCTCTTTTCTGCGTTGTGTTTTTCATTCACGTGGGAAGAACAGGACAGGACTCAGCAGCTTCAGCGATCTTTTATTCTGATGCACAAATAAAATGTAATCAGCCTCTTAGTGAGAATCGCCCTCTCTAGCTCTCTCACTGCATCACCAGTGCAAAGAGGAAGAGTCACAATAAAATGCATATAAAACAAACGTATAACAGAAGCCATACCTGATGCACAAATAAAATGTAATCAGCCTCTTAGTGAGAATCGCCCTCTCTAGCTCTATAAAACAAATGTGATGTACACTTGTCACACGTGCTCTCATTTCACCTTTAGGCCCAGATGTTAAAACATCACTTAATCGGGACAAAATTACGGAAATAGCCACACAGATAAGTAAAATAACATTATACACAGGAATTAGATTGAAAATTTAGACATAAAAACAACAATTAAGATTACGATTAAAGATGATTATCAGGAGCCTAAAATAACCTCACCTCTCACTGCATCACCAGTGCAAAGAGGAAGAGGAGGAGACAGAACAGGAAATTATATTGACTCATGACATCACATCAATTAAAGGAAAAGATACTCGACTCCACTTAGGCAGTAATATCAGGTATATGTCAACAAACAATTTTGTGGGAATTCTAATAAACTATAAATACATTTAACAGTACACTTTATGTACCTGTTACACTCACCCCTCAGAATTTACACAAAATTCACCAGAGTATAATAATAAAAAAAAAATATATATATACTGGTCACTAGAATTGCATGGTCCACACTTAAAAAAAACAGTGGAAACACAGCATAAAAAGCTACCCAAATGAAAGGGATACAAATATGAAGAAAGTTGGCCAAACTTCAACACATATTGTAGGCATTACCAAAGTGCCCATTACACTTTGAAAAATCTCAGACCAGGTACTTAAACAGAGCCGATAGGCATTAGAAAATACAACACATGACTTCTAGCATTTTCAAGAGACAGCATGAAGAAAAAAAAACTGATCTAAACATGAATAACAGGAGATAAAGACTCCATACCAAGTAAGGTTTCTAGTTGAACCATTGACTCAATCAGCCTACGAACAGGCTTAATTACTCTACCAAGCCTGGTAGTGTAACGAACATCTGCATTTAAATCAGCTACAGGATCTTGCCAAAAAGGTTCACTGGCAGAGACAGGAATTTGGGGAGAGTGGTTAGTACCAGCCACAGCCACAGTATTATCATCAGTCACAGACACAGCGACTTGTGCAAGCGACTCCTCTTGATTGGACAACTGAGAATGCACCCATGAAGAAGTGCGGACATCACTACAAGTAGCAACATTGGAGATGTTCGACATAGAGTCTGCATGTGAGAGTTCCTCAGCCTCATTCAGCCCATCATCTGCGTGCCCATCAGACTCAATTTCGGCACCATTTAAGGACTCACCACTTCCTGTCTGCTCGGTTAGACCATCACAGTGTGCTGCATCAGATATCTGTGAAGGTACACTACAGGCAAGTGTTTCAGCAACCTCATGATCAGAACTAACCATTTCTGGTTCAAGCAGCGGGAGGAAGTTCACTTGAAGAAGAAGATTCCGATGCACTATTCTCTCATTACCAGCTCTGTCACTGATCTTATAGACATGTATGGATGGCTTTGAGGCAACAACAGTGTACATGACCGGCTCCCATTTGTCAGCAAGTTTACGTTTCCCTCTACAACCCTTGTTAGCCACAAGCACTTGGTCACCAACAGCTAGAGGTAGGCCCTTGGCTCTTTTGTTGTACTGGCTGGACTGGTGTTTTTGTTCCACAACAGCATTCTTCTGTGCTAACGCCATGGCAGATTGGAGGTCGCTGACAAGAGATTTCACATACTTATCATAGTCACAGATTGTCTTATCCTGCAGGACACTGCGGAACATGAGGTCAACGGGCAATCTTGGTACCCTACCGAACATCAGGTAAAAGGGGGCGAAACCTGTTGTTTCGTGTGCTGTGCAGTTATACACAAATGTCATGGTCTGTATTAACTGTGGCCACCTCTGCTTAGGCCTAGGTGGGAGAGACCTCAGCATATTTCCTAACGTCCTGTTGAAACGTTCGGTACCACCATTCCCCATTGGGTGGTAAGGGGTGGTTCTTGACTTGTCAACTCCAGCCAGTTCAAGCAGCTCAGCAATCAACTCACTCTCAAAGGTAGCCCCCTGGTCAGAATGGATGCGGTGGGGAAATCCATACACACAGAAAAAGTTGTCCCAGAGTTTCTTAGCCACTCTTTTCGCTGTCTGGTCTTGACACGGGAATGCATGCGCCAGCTTTGTGAAGTGATCCGTGACCACTAAAACATCCACAGATTTGTTGTTCCGATCTTCAGCAGACCAGAAGTCAATGCAAACGAGCTCCAGTGGGGCTGTGGTCTTAATACTCTCCAAGGTGGCTCTCGCTGCAGGCTCTGGAGTTTTACTGAGGACACACCTGGAACACTTTTTCACGTAATCCCGCACATCACGCTCCATGTCAAGCCAGAAAAACCTCTGACGGGTCAAAGACAGAGTGCGAGACTGCCCTTGGTGACCAGCTAGGTCGTGAACACCTGAAAGTGCCTCAGGTTTCAAGGAGTCAGGTAAAACTAACTGGAACTTCTTTTGCTTGGTGAGCGGGTCTTTAATAGCTCTGTACAGGATTCCATTAAGCAAAGACAGTTTGTCCCACTGCTTCATAATTCTCAGCACACTCTGGTTATCGTTAGCACGCTCACGTCTTGATGGTCTGCGTTTCCTGCCAACATAATAAGACACTCTAGCAATGACAGGGTCTTTGTGCTGGTGATCTTGTAAGTCTATCTGTGAAAGAGAATGAAACACTTCCTCATCTCCACTGATTAAAGAGTTCAGATGTCCTGCAAACGATGTTGCTCTACATTCAGTTCCCATTTCCCATTCATCACAGGAGGACAAGATGGAAGACACGTCATCGCTGGACATTGATGTATCCAGCCCAGCATCAAATGATCCTGTCCCTAAAGTTTGCGGCTGGCAGGTAAGACGGAACACCTCTTGTACGTTTCCATCCTCTACATTGTGTACTTGTCGCAACAGCTCAGAATAAGGCTCAGACAAGAGCCGCTGACTCACTGGCCTGACAAACGGATCCCTACTGAGCGCATCCGCCACCACGTTGAGTTTTCCAGGAACATATTTGATCTCAAACGAATATGGAGCAAGTTTCGAGACCCAGCGCTGCTCACAT